AGCTGTTCATTTTACTTTATAGAGCAAATGATTGTAACAGATATTTTATTTAGATTAAAGCTGCAAAAATTAGTTTAAACGGAATTTTATTATCGCTATGTTGGTACATTGCGCCATTTTCTGCAAGGTTGTCGTTTGTTATTTGACAATTATCCTAATATAATGTCAGTCAATATTTTGTATAATATCGTGTTGTTGTTGAATTTTTGTGAGTAATTCTTGTTTTTTTTTGTCTATTTCCATAGTCTTTTTTTAAAAATTGCACTTTTAAGCACAAACACTTCTTTTAAGAACTAAATTGTCGAGTTTGTATTGCATTTCTTGAAATTTGTGTGTTGAGAATATGCCGAAGCATTTAAACAGTCGAAGCAAAGAGCTTGTAGCTTCCTTGATAAACTATTTTGAACGAGAACGTGACAATAAAGATGCTTTATTACCCTTGACTACACTCAGAGAAGTAAGTTTGATTGATAAGCACATTACACTACTTTCAAAGTTATTTCTACGTTAGTTTTTATTAAATTCTGTGATTATTAGTTTGTGCATTAATAGCACCCTCTTACTTGTTATTACCACTTATAGAGTTGTAAGATGTACATCAATAAATAAATAAATAACCCATAATAACGCTTATAAAAATCTTCATAATGGACTAGTTTTTGCCAGTATGTAGTAAGTAAAATAAACTACAAAACAAATAAATCAATTAATTACTAAACTGTTAGTTATTAAATTAAAAACAAAACGTAAAAATATTTAAAAAATGATATAATAAATATATTGTTTGTCACTCTTAAATTAAGATTCATCTCATAAATCCATCACAATCTGGCAGCGCTGTCACCATCGCTTGTCACTCAAAGTTCGTGACGTGAATCGGAAAATGTTTTGCGATTACCATATGAATTTTTCGCTTGTCTGTACCCTGTTGAATTTTTCTGGATATTTGGTGGCCACCTACTCTTTTGAGGCCATTTTTGTAATTGCTTTAACACTGCAGAAGGGTTCTGGACCTATGAATGGCATTGATGAGCCTTGTTTCGCCATCTCATCTACCTTTTCGTTGCCTTTGTGGTCCTCGTGTCCTGGTACCCAGGCTAACGTAACATCGCTACAATGTCCCAGTGTAAGCAATTGCACAATCCAACACTAAAAGGTGAATATAGCAACTGAAAAGTGTGTTCTTTCCTGCATTGTTAAACTACTCTATCTAAATGTAAACGAATTTATATGCAATCCAAAACTAGTATTTTTAAATTTAATGATTTATAGCTTGATTCGTAATGTCCTAATAACGAAATTTTAATGGGATATTTTTTCAAAACGGAAAATCAAATATAACCTGTCAAATTTTCCACCGATTTGTTTTAAATTTTCCAAATTATCGTAATCTATCAAACATTCAGGATTTTATTCGTTTATTTTATTTCACATCAGTTTGAGACAGTTATATTTTTGTAGTATTGGTGAGGGTCAGTGTTTTTTTATTCTTGCTATTTTAATGGTCAGTAAAATATATTTTTTTTATATAACCACATAGGTTTACTATTACTAATGAATTGATATGTAAGTACCGGTACGATAATATTAAATAATATCATATAACAATAAAACGGTATAATAGGCTTGGAAATGAAGATCGCTGTCATTTTAATGTTATCGATTGTCATTTCCAAGTCAACTTGACGCCGGTTTTTTCCAATTATACGGTATTTAAACAGGTCCCCAAATATATTGAAAATTGAAACTACATTGTTGATCATCTTTTATAAAGCATATCCTTCATTTCGATATAGACAATTTAGCAAATATAGATTAAACTACTATATTATTCACCTGTCTACAGGCAATGATCGATAAGAAAAGATGTTAAGTGGCTTTTACAATGACAATCGTCTTTCATCAATCAATGACAACCCTTTTTTATTTAAATCTTATTTTTTTGATAGTATTTTATGTCAATTTTTTAAAAAATTACATATTTGTAGGAGTTAGCTGTACAGAAATGATCAACGATTTTAGTCTTACAGGCTACTCTGGCGCTCTTTTTTTCATCGTAGGTACCGTTTATAACCTTTATAATATATTCGTTCTTTTTGTATTGTTTTTCCAATAAGTATCTATAGCACGTTTCTAGATTTTTTATTAACAAGAAACGTCAAAAATCAACTTAAAATTTATGAGAAGATTCTTAATTTATTATATTCATATTCTAATCTATATATTTTCTGAAGTTTTTGTCTAAAAATAGACATACTTAATATTACAAACACACCTATACATACTTTAACCACCGAATATTAACTAAAAACCTTTAACGCTTTGATTATAAAACGTGTTGATTTTATTTTATCAACAACTCATTTTTTTGGACAAATTTAGGTGTTAATATGGAAATAAATAGAAGTAAATAACCATTATACCAACCTAAAATCTGTCTAACGACTCACTGAAGTCACAGATTAGGTATCCTATAAGTATACAGATAAAAATCTTGTCCCTAATTCGTCGTACGAAAATTGTTTTTTATGACGATTTGCAAACGAGTAAAATTTCCTGTGCGCAAAAATAAACTCGCGTAAAATAACAATAAACAGCGTTATAGAGAGATATCGCTAAACCGAATAGCGTGCATGGACGTTAATAAGGTCAGGTGTTATTTCCTTTACGTGAGGTGGTATTAGAGAACAACGGCATACCGTCGAGTCGGCCTAAAAACACGTAAACGTTTACGTACGCATGCGCATTTCTGATATTTCTTATTTTTTATACACGTAAAAGATTCTTTACGTCTATTTTCGATTCGACCGTATGCCGTTGTTCTCTATTAACTCTCTTCATTTATAGTTATCGGAACGGAAAGAATTCTTTTCGCGTCGCGTCCGCTATTTACACTTAACCTAACTTTGAATTTAAAACTTGTTTTGTTTACTAGGTATTTTAAAACTAAAGGGTTAAAGTGATTATTTCCAGTGATTTATTGTTCAACGTCTGCCAGTGGGTTTAGGGCAACAAGCAACAAATTCTCTTAGAAGGGCTAAGTCGTCATCTGCTGTAAACCTAAGCCTCTTTATAGGTTCTTTAATATTGGAAGAGGTGGAATCCATATTTTGGGCCATATTTATTTAATTAAAACTAATCCCAGCTACTTAAATATCAAATTACCTAATAAAACTAAAGTAATAATTCAAAACAATTCAAACATAACCTAAAATAAAAGATCTCGCCGGCCGGCCCCGGTTGTCAAAAACCCGCACATGCCCATTTAAGCAATTTTTAAACGTTATTTAGAAATAACGCTTGGTGTAATTGATCGGCAAATTACGTCAGGCGGTAACGTTATTAGAGGGTGTTGCGTTAAAAATTGACTCGCGCATATCGTAACCAAATCGTAACCGTGATAAGGTAGGCGTAAATACTGCATGACGCTATTCGGTTTTCCGATATCTCTCTAATAACTGTGCCGGTCAGGCGCTGTGCACAATTTTAGAGGCCATAAGTGGGCGTGCTATGTGCGCAAACTAGTAACCTAACTAGTACCCGATTCCGAAAATTGGAACCACGAAAAACAATAAAGAAAAAACAAAGTTTATAATCTGTATAACCTCGAAGATTTCGACATACGATATCCAAAAAATGACAGAGAATATAATTTATGTGTACATTAAAATGACAGACACAACTGTCACTGTCATATTTTCTCTCGTTAGACAGACTCTACATTGTCATTTCTTTAAAGGTCAAACTATTGCACATCGATTTGGGTTGCTACCTAAGGTTGCTACGTCTAGAACTCGAATAATTTTCGATATGGACATATTTTCGACTGTTTTTTCGCGATAAATTCGTGGACTTCAGCTTAATAACATTTTTCATGAGTCATGATGAATGAGTGTTGATTTGATAATTAAAGAAACATTGATAATCGCAGGTTATTGTACAGTTTATGACAATCAGAATATGCACCGAGAAAAAAAATATAATTATTGTATTAATTAATTAAATATTGACGTAGCTATGCAAAAGAAAGTTTTTTTTTATTCATTAATTTATTCCAACGTCTACAGTACTGATATCTATATGGTATGATTGTTATACAGAAGTGCACAAACATTGCCATTTTTTTGGCATCCAAACATTGCCAGGAGGTTATAAAATTTGTCAAACATTAATACTAATAATTATAAAAGATTAAAAAAGTATAGAACGTTTCCAGAAAAAAATATTCCAAAAAAAAAAGATTTGAAGTTAACGTCTCCTTTTTGCTGCCAGGGCTAATCTGGACGGGGCCTACTTTGTTTACGCGGAATCCGAACCGCGGTCCTCGGCCATATCATGGTCAATGGACTACCGACTTGGCAAGTATCTAAATCTACTCTTACTCACGAGATATCCGATCTCATCCGGCCTCGAACCGGCGTGAATGTGCAGTGTGTGTCAATAGATTTTTACACTTTTGCTTTTTTTTTGAACCGGTCACCCGTCCATCCACTAGTATTGCCTTACGTCGCTTAACTTCGGTGTTCTAATGGGAACCGGTGTTTCGACGTAGCTGGGCCGTTGCCCTACAACCTTCTTAAGGTCAACTGGCAGTAAGCGCCATTAAAAAATACGTACGAGCCAAGTAAATGACGCCTAGGGTTTGACCACGCTGAAATAATTATCGATTGTCATTCCTCAGCCGTATTTGACGCCGTTTTTTTTCGATCGTATGGTATAAACGTTTGTTGTTTAAAAGTCAACCATTAGATAAATATAGCGGTACGAATATTACACAGAAAAATTTTTCTATTTTTTTCTTAAACACGAAAAGTGATAGAACAATGACATTTTATGAGAGTATTACTACAGAGACAAAAACACTAGCTGTATATTATTCAACTTTTCAAAATTAAAAAAAACTGCTCCTATTAGTCTTGTTAACTAAATTTAAATAAAAATTTCCGCAACTACTTTTAAATTGAACATTCTATACTAACCGGTATTTTTTTCTGTTTCAGATATACTTGCATTGTAACAAAGGTAAAGACGAAGTGTCCATGCTGGTAGCCGCGAAAACGTCTGGTGCGACACCACTGGTCATCGCCTGTCGGAATGGACACTATGACGTAGCGGAATACCTGATCGAACGCTGTCACGCAGACATTGAACAACCTGGATCTGGTAAGTTTCAGAATAACTTAACATTTGGCACAGATTTCGACAATATTGCAATTGACAAGTGTGTCTACTATAGGGTTTCGAACCGGGAATTTCGGTTTGAAAAAAAAACTTAACATTTTCAATTAAAGATGCAAATGTTATAAAAACATAACACAAAAAATTAACTAATACGTTCAGCAATATTATACTAAATAATAAAATAACGTATTTAAACTTCAGTAATGCTAAAAAACTTTATAGAAACTTCAAAATAACTTCAGAAGTAAGAACAGTAAGAGATTATCACTACTTATTTAGAAGAGTTTGATTTCGGCCGCTAGAAAGTATCAAAATTCTTTCGCACGTAAAGGAGCCCCGGTTCTGAACCCTAGTTGTAACCAACATTTGGCACAGGTTTTGACAATATTGCAATTGACAAGTTTCTCTCCTAGACGATGTGGCAAATATCATATGTCCAACGTTGGAAGGCGTTTGCCACATCTTGTGATACCGGCTTTATTAAAAATCAAATGAAATTAATAACAGTGTGTTTTTAATTTTTTCTAGTCATGTTTGACGGTGAGACCATAGAGGGCGCACCGCCCTTATGGTGTGCTGCCGCTGCTGGTCACCAAAACATAGTTAAGTTGTTAATAAACCATGGTGCAAAAGTAAACACCACCACAAGGACGAATTCCACGCCATTGAGAGCAGCATGCTTCGATGGTCATTTAGAAATAGTTAAATATTTGGTTCAGCATGGAGCCGATATAGAAGTGAGTATAAAACTGCCATAAAAATTGATTTGCCTCTAGCCGTACCGCGCAACTCTTCAACCTCAACCCACAGTTACGGCGCATGCGTATTGGAACGACATTGGCAGAAGAAAGTAATACCACAGATTATACAGATTATAATCTTTGTTTTTTCTTTATTGTTTTTCGTGGTTCCAATTTTTGGAATCGGGCACTAGTTAGGTTACTAGTTGGCGCACATAGCACGCCCACTTATGGCGTCTAAAATTGTGCACAGCGCCTGACCGGCACAGTTATTAGAGAGATATCGGAAAACCGAATAGCGTCATCCAGTATTTACGCGTACCTTATCATGGTTACGATATGCGCGAGTCAATTTTTAACGCAACACCCGCTAATAACGTTACCGCCTGACGTAATTTGCGGATCAATTACACCAAGCGCTCTTTCTAAATAACCTCTGATAACGTTTAAAAATTGCTTAAATGGGCATGTGTAGGTATTTGACAACCGGAGCCGGCCGGCGAGATCTTTTATTTTAGGTTATGTTTGAATTGTTTTGAATTATTGCTTTAGTTTTATTAGATAATTTGGTATTTAAGTAGCTGGGATTAGTTTTAATTAAATAAATATGGCCCAAAATATGGATTCCACCTCTTCCAATACTAAAGAACCTATAAAGAGTCTTAGGTTTACAGCAGATGACGACTTAGTGACTCTTCGTAATAAAAAAAATATTGGAAAACAGATACAGCTTTATGATTATTTATCAGATTCCATCTTTTAGAATCCTCATATGGATTTTGGCTATAAGAACTAGCATTTAATTAAATAGATTTCAAAATGAGTTTATTATGATGCTTAATATTTTCATACTAATTTAATGTAATAAAATAGGCCCAGTTCTGTGACACTGGCCCCAAAATTTATGAAATAACTTAATTACTAGCCAGTTGTAGAAATGAATTGTTTGTGAATTTGTACATTCCGCATCATTCGGGTGAAAATCGAAACTCCTTCGGCTCGATACGTTTGCGTTTTGTACGTACGTAAAGGCACGTAAAGATACGTATGACATATCCGTAAACGCAAGTGAATTTCTCACTGCGCAAGCGTACATGTCAAACGATACGTTTACGTCTACGTCTTTGGCCGTGCTTTAACTGTCTATTTTCTCTTTACCGTTCTTTAAATAAGTCCCAAATAACTGTGTGATAACGCTGATAAAAAAACATAAAGACTATAATCAAAAACAAAAGAGTCAATCACTTCTAAATGAGAAGGAGCGAAATTCAGAATCTAACCGAGCTCTGCTTTTCCATTTTAACTGCTATATTATCTACAAATTATGAGAACCACTTGATCTTTTGTGCGGTTTCTTTGTATAACAAGCACTTCGCATTTTTCTCTCTTCGACTTATAAGATCGCCATAGCGATTCACTCCTAGACAGGTCGATCTTTACTAAATGTTATCTTTTCTCAGGCTAACGTACCAATGTATTTCTCTTACAGTTGGAAATAATCTTCTCGAGGGACTTTTTAGAATAATTTACAATAATGCGCTTTTCAAAAAACCACCTATTTTGCCCATTTAATTCACAATTAATTATTTTATTCCAGGTAGCCAATAAACACGGTCATACGTGCCTAATGATAGCCTGTTACAAAGGACATATCAAAATAGCTAGGTATTTACTAAGTCTGAAGGCCAGTGTGAATAGGAAAAGCGTGAAAGGCAACACTGCGCTGCACGACTGCGCGGAGAGCGGTAGTTTAGAAATTTTGAAAATGCTGATCGAGCACGGCGCAACGATGGACGTCGATTCGTACGGTGAGTAGAGGAACTAATATTTTTTCATATAGGGAGATCTTTGATCTTGAAAAATATGTATTTTCAGCTAGCGAATCATGATGTATTTTATACAGGGTCTTTCAAAAAATATGGGCCATCTCTCGTTTTGGAGATCCCTCACGTAAAAATAAAATTTATTTTTTATATCAACCTAGGTCCGATTCTGCTTTGTTTCGTAGCTACGGGGGGTTATAGTCTTATTTTTTTACGATTTTTTATAATATTCGAGTTAGCCCATATGCACGTCACTGATGAATCTTTCAAAATTTTTTAAGAATTAAAATATGGAGCACTTATAGTAACTTTTACTCTCAAAATTTCATTCGAATCACTAAAAGCACTTGGAAGAAAATTTTAATAAATAAAAATGAAGCCTTTAACCTCCTGTAGCTAGAAAACAAAGCATATTCGGACCTATGTTAGTATAAAAAATGAATCTTATTTTTACGTGAGGAATCTCCCCACGAGAGATTGCACATGTTTTTTGAAACACCCTGTATTTCTACCTAGGCATGACCCCGTTGTTAGCTGCGGCAGTTACAGGCCACAACCACATCGTAGAGTACTTAATTAAACTGCCTCAGTTAGTATCTAGAAGAGAACGAATAGACGCTTTAGAATTATTAGGAGCCACTTGTGTCGATAAAAAGAGGGACATGATTGGTGCATTAGAATTATGGAAACGTGCAATGGTAGAGAGGTAAGCAAATAAATATAAAAACAGTATGACTGGATATGGTGGTCCTATTATTTTTATGCTGCCTTTATTTTCGACTGACCAAAAGTTCTAACCTAATTATTGTTCTTTCTACTTGTAGGTATAGTGGTGATGGTCCACCTATAATGAAACCCAGAACCCATAGAATACTGGCCTACGACTACGTGGTGGAAATATCTGATCCTCTAGCCTTGGATGACCTTATGGCTGATCCAGACGAGATGCGCATGCAGGCCTTGGTGATGCGCGAGCGAATTTTAGGCCCCGCCCATCCTGACACTTGTTACTACATTAGATATAGAGGCGCTGTGTACGCAGACGCGGGAAAATTTGATAGGTAAGCTGTCAAATTGTCTATCTACAAAAAAAGTGTTTTTTAGAATGCATATTTTCATTTTTCGGTTTATTCAATTTTTCTAGCACAGAGTTGTTTTTTAGTTTTCATTAGATATGATCAAAATTCATATAAGATCTTAACCAATATATTTGGCTTTGTTAGGTGCATCGAACTCTGGAATTACGCCTTGGACATGCAACAGAGGATGTTGGAAACGCTGAATCCCATGACGCAGAGCAGCCTGTTTAGTTTTACTGAGTTGTTCTCCTTTATGATGGGGGAGGAGGGCAAACACACTGTTAGGGGTCGACTGGTGCCCCCCGTGGACGTTAAGGAGATACTCAGGGTGTTCGGGAAGGCCATTAAGGAGGCCGATTTAGGGAAACAAGTATTGGACAGGATACCTAATCAGGAAAAGGATATGTCATATTTAACTAGGGTAAGTTTTTAGTAATTTTTTTTTAACTTTGTGTCATATTTAAATAAGTATAAATAATTAATAAGTACTTTAATAATTAATAAGCAATATACAACGATCGTTTAGCGTTACGTCATCATTATTTATCTGATATCCGTTTTAGGATGTGTCTGAGATCAGTTCATGTGGTTTAGAAAGTTTCAAGTACGTTCCGAAATTAATAACTTGAGCGCGTTCCAATTTTATTGGCTCGCTCGTATTCATTTTCGTTGTTTTCCAATATATAATTTAAGGCAAAATACCAATTTTAGTAATTCTTTGGTTTTGAATTTTATTTGATAGTGCAGAGGATTTTTAGGAAATGCCATAATGACATCTACAATCTATTTCATGATGTAATATTAAAGGATGGTTGTACAGACATTACCTGATAAATCGCCATAGAGAAGTTATAATAAGACTTTATTAAAGCGATATAAAAAAAACCATTGTAAAGGACACACTAAAGGATATTTTCAGTTTACCATATTATATAAACACAACAAAATTTAAAAAAGAGTCTTGCTTGGTAAATAAGTAATATTTACCCTAGCAAAACAACCTACCTCCAATACAATTTTATTTTTCTAAATTAAGGCCATAGACAGTTGTCACAGAAAGAATAGTTATCTCTTTGTTTTTTTTTATTATTGAAACTATATGAGGTACATATTTTCTTATAAAATTTTCTGCATACTATAAATTTGTGTTCAGCTAATATTTCTGTAATAATATTAAGCAATGTTGTACTGTGTAAATAAAAACGACATGGTTGTATTAACAAATATAGAATCTAAATTGTAGAACTAATCTAGAACTCCCCTAGTTTACCTATTTCTAGTAATGGGAACTATCGAATGAATACTATCGAAACATTCGATAGTTGCAATTCATTCGAATAATTCGATAGTTAGTAAGAAAACATTCGTTGAAAACTATTCGAATAAAAAATATCGATTGGATCCGTCATCTGCCTTGAAATATTGTATTCTAGTAATTCGGCAGCAAAAACCATTCATTTATAAAATTCATTCATTTATGAAATTCATTTATTCGTCAGGATCGATTATAATAAAATATTAACTGAATTTTAGTTGTCGCCCGGCGACGTAGGAGAAACCCGACAGCGGTCGGTGGCAATGCTATGAAAGAAGCCGGCATCTTTGATTTTTTGCGGAGTCAGATATAGATAAGGACACATTATTTTTTTATTGAGGTGCTAGTATTTACACAAAAAATACATTATGAAGGGCGCTGTTGCCATATTTTGGTATTAGTTGATATTAGCAAAGAATATTATTGTTTGGCTTTAGTTAGTTAGGGATAGTATGTCTATATATTCTGCATTTTTTTTTATTAATATTCTATTGTTACACTGCAATAATACTTGTTATTTTGGATGTAGGAAAATAAGTTTTAATGTTTTTAAGCAAAGACTGGTTTAATAAATATTAATAACAGTAATAATTTGTTATACCTATTAACAATAAAATTTAAAATCATTTAATATAAATATTTTTTTTTAGTCTCTAAATTTTTTGTGTGTGGCAACGTTGGTTTATTAAATAATAATAATTACAGAACTAATTTGTTATATTAACAACAAATTTTAATTAAAAAAAATAAAATAAAAAATATAAACATTTATTAATTTTCTAAGCATGCAGTGTAATGGAAGAAAAATATAAATAAAAAATTAGAAATCAAAATTATTTATATTAGGTGCTTTATATTACTATTTAAAAATTATATTTACTTTTACTGGCATTTACTTTATAAATAAATGAAATATTTCTTCGCAAAAAACTACATGTAAGAGAATTAGCATAAACAAAATACAAACATCGTTAATTTTTTTTTTAAATTGACACGTGTAAAACTTTCATTTTAATTTTCTCACCCCATAGTTTGAGTTCGATAACCATTTACTTAACCACATTACTTAAATATGATTATTAAGTTCAACTAATTCATATTAATTAAAACATCTAAAATACAAATATGTATTTTTAAAATTAACTGTTAGTTAAGTTCATCTCATCTCTCTTAAAAATTTCTACTTCTCAAAATTTCCCATTAAAAAATAGACCATATATCATATAAAATTAAATAATTGAAAGATCGAACTACGGAAAACGACACAAATTTTGGGAAAAATTTTGACCACCTGCACATGCACACAATCGTCAATAAATAAAATTAAAAAATAACTACTATTTAAATAAACGCAAAAATAGCACAGTATTTATACGGCGAAGTTATAAAAATTTGGAAGAACTAATAATGCACTGACGCATACAAAAATCAAACGAATACTAAATTTCATTTGTCAAAAGCATTCGATAGTCGTGGCTCAACGATAACCATTTAGTCGCACAGCGAGGTTGTCACATATGCTTTAGTATACAAATGAATGAATGATTTTATTCGAATAAAACCATTCGATAGTTGAAATCACTCATTCATTAACCATTCGATAGTCTAATTCATTCGATAGTTCCCATCGCTACCTATTTCTTTCTGTGAGAATAAAAATAATATCACGTTGTGGTAACGCGGCATTAACTTTTTGTCAGAACAGTTTAAATTGTTATTTTAGCATGTAAATAAAAGTGAAATATTTATTAACTAAAAATTATTTTTTTATGGACACTAAAATAAAATGTGTGAAATTAAATGCGTATAAACAATAGGGTCCTAGTTTTTTTATCGATTTTGTTTAAAATGTCAGGTCAGATTGAGAGGATGTACCTTACTACAATTAAAATATAATTATTGTTTATTGTAATGCTAATTTTATTAAAAAAAAACTGTTAAATTGTCGCAGTTTCAAAAAATACGAAGATAATAATTACCCAAATGAATAAATCGCATATATCTCTACATTATCTCATGATACTTACCTTACATTTTAATTTGTTTGCATTACTAAACATTTTAAATAAACTTTTATTTAATGAGTCCTCTAAATCTAGCGGAGCCATAGGTTTGCTCTTTATTACAAAAATTTGTACACTAGTGTTCATATTTATCATCATGCTTAATGCTCCTTATTACGATTTTAAAATTATCACCAATATTTAAGTAAATATAAACAGTGTATAAACATAATGGTTTTGCTTCTATTTTCTTGGATTTTAGAGTTGTATGAAATAAATATATTTTTTACATAATATCAACTGCCGCATATGGATAAATAATCAAAACATTATCTCAATGACTGTTAGTGCCATGAATGACGCGTGCTTAACACATGCACAAGGGTTGATTGAATTTACAGCTCTTGTGAAATAAATTTAATTGTATAAACAATTTCTGATTTTCAGATAACCTTAAATAGCACGCGAAACAATACACATCGATTTTAAAAATAAACTTTACATCAGCCAGTTTTCTTTAACGAATATTTTATTTAAATTATATAACCTTTTTGTTTCTTTGAACAGGTTACTGTAATCAATTTGCACCTCGCTTGTTTGTTGACGAAAATGTTGAGCCACAAATCAACAACGGACGAAGCCAAAGAAGAAATCTACCACAAAATCTACGAATTAAACAAATTAGGCCTTAGGACTAGAATGGGACAGACGCTGTTACATTTGGCGTGTAGCAGAGATTTTGCTCTTTTAATTAGGTATGTTTATTTTTTTCTTGAAATAAAATCGAGAATCGGAGATTAAAACTTTTCAGTTACAACTGTGATGACATCATGCTCCTGTCATTTACAACATATACCTAAAAACATATTTCACTTTTACCCTTATCATTCAAGTGTCCGGGCCATGCATCTGTTTCAAGATATACCGGGTGCGTCTGAAAAAGGGCTCACCCTTATAACTTTTTTATTTTTTCAGATAAAAACGAGATTTGGTATGTTAGTATATGACATAAGTTAGGATTGATTGACGTATTCAATTGTTTTTGGTCACTTCCTGTTTCACCGGAAATGACTACAACTTTTGATTTTTAAATGGCACCCTCGGTATTTTTTTACTTTATTAAATTAAAATGATTAGTTTCGGAGATACAGGGTGTAGAAATTTCATTTTTATTTCGATTTTTTCCAAATAATTTCTGAAGTAACGTCAATATTTCTCAATAATTTATTAATAGTTTTGTGACACAAGAAATTTTCGATTTTGATTGGTCAAATTGACTCCTACTTGTAGGGGGCGCCACCTACATGTGTTTTAACTGTTTTGAAAAGTAATAACTTTTCGTCCGTACCGGTATAAAACTACTGACTGAAATAATATACATTTCCATGACTTTTTACGTAAAAAATGTCCCTTGGTAAAAATCGCTAGGAGCAACCGTTCTCAAGATATTTAGAATGGAAATAGTCAATACATGTCATTATTGACAAAAATAAGTACACGTTGAGTATAGCTATTTGATTGAAAGAATAAATTTTTATTTTCTTAAACTAATCATAATTTTTTCTGCGAAAAAATAGCATTTTAAGACATACATTTATACGAACTTTTTTTGCTTATTTACATCTGCAGAATATGCTGCCGAAGTTTCCGGAATACAGTTCGGACCACCCTGTATACAGTTAATAAATAAAAACGCTGATTAAGTTTTCAATTAGGTTTTCATTATTTTTTTTTTGGTTTTGAAATTTTTGGTTTAAAAAAAACGTTTCGGCTAACATTATAATCAGTGCTGTCATATGATTTTTTTTCATTTTAAACCAACAAAAATAATGAAAAACCAAATGAAAACTTAATCAGAGTTTTTCCCGAACCTAAATCCCAAGAAAATCAAAAATTTTAGAATAATTTTACATATAAAGTGACAGCGATCTTTATTTCATAGCCATCGCTGACGCCTTTTTTTCTATGATATTGTATTATTTGCAAATATAATTTTTCCAACATTGATACTTGCAAAATATACATATAAATTTTGTGAATGCAAATAATAATACATCACTATTAGTAGATATTGAATGTTTTTTTGTTAAATTAAATCGATTTTCAAACCAAAATTTAAAATATATTTTACATTTTACCCAATATCTTATGTACCTATTCATTATTTGTATATTGTAAAACATTTGCTGCATTTGTATGTTTCATAGTTTATTTGCCAAAGTATTTATGACTATAAATAGGTGTATAATATATTGTATTTATTAACTGTATATTAGTATATTTCATGTAAACTATATCATTTTTAAATTACAAACCAAAAACACAAGGAATAATTATGTTTTCCATGTATTCTACAACATATTTATTAATCCGTAGTATCTAACTAGCGTGACGTCATAAATCTCGGTCCGAGGCTGTTCTATTAAAGACGACATTGGTCTGATATTTAGAAATGTCAAAAGCTGATGACATTTGACTTTTGACAATTATGCCATTTCGTGTTGATTTTTGCAAGAAGAGGCAGAATTATGACTTGTTTTACAATTTTCCTTTTCTATTTCACGAAAGTAAAAAGAGTTACCTATCTGATTCGTTCAGTCACTCAATTTAAAGAATATCAGTAACTTTATTGACAGAGGGATTTTATATTTGCCATATTGGTAAAAAATAACTGTCAAAATTCAAAGTTATTCATTTTATAGACTATAAGAACTATACTAACGAAGATTTTCGACTACAATTCGGACCACCCTGTATGATTATTTTTGTTTGTTCTAGGTATCCAGTATGCGGTTTTCCTTCCTGCCACCTCATCAAATCCCTCCTCACGGTAGGCGCCGACCCCACCGTCCGAGATGACGACGGCAACACACCTCTGCACGTAGCGGCCATGGCCAATCCCTGCCCGCCGCGAGTGGCGCGCCATCTGCTGGAGGGCGGCGCTCACCTCGACCAGACCAACCACTCGGGCGGCACCTTCCTCAACCTCCTCAAAAACCAGCAGCCTCACGAACTCGTCGACGTCACGAAGTACAGCAGTCTGAAGTGCGCGGCGGCCAGAGTTATCAAACAGTTCCGTATCCCCTACAAAGGGGTAGTGCCTCGCGTGCTGGAGTCATTCATACAGATGCATTGACAGAGGGAGAATGATAGAAACGATTATTCTTTGTGTCTTAATGATTTTTTTATCTTCTAATGATCGGATCGGTATGTGTTAGAAGAGATGACTGACTGACAGAAGTGATCTATTTTAATTTATTTATACGGTACTAAAAAGTGTCTTGGAATCGTAGCACGGTAATCCAGCGAAAAGAAGAAAATATACTGAATGTCTAACATATTGATGTACAAGGTATTTTATAAGTAAATCGATATATTTCAGGAAGAGAGTTGGTTGTTACGTACTAGCTTTGTTTATGGGTGTGTTCTAGTACTGAAACAGTTTAGGACTAATTCAGAGCGCATGTGCAGTCATAGTCTGTAATTTGTACAACGATCGTTCAATGACGCCATCGTTATTTGTCTAATATCTGTTTGAGGGTGTGTCTTAATCATTTCATATTGTTAAGAAAATTTCAAGTACGTTCCGAAATTTATAATTTATAGTGTTTCGATTTTATTAATTCCCAGATTGACCTTTATTCGTTTTTGTTGTTAGGTTAGGTTAGGTTTTTACTACACACAACTAACTATTGAAAATCCCTAAAATTGTCCCTGTTGTCACCTTCTCCCAAAGCTTGCTTGAATTTTTTAGTAATTGGTCAATAATGATTTCATATAAATTTTTCAACAACTCGATATTTTTACCATATTTATTTGGAACTAGAGTTGCAAACTTAAGACTTTTTTTTACTTAAATCAGTTTAATGACATAAATCATTTGATTTTAAGTCACATTTCGAAAGCTGACTTAAGAACTTAAAGTTGAAGTCATTTTCAAAATGACGTTTAACTTAAGTCTTTACTCCGAAATAAAAAAAAGATTTGTCATTAGAAGTTTTTTGGAAAAGAACTACTCATTTGATTTTAAGTCACATTTCGAAAGCTGACTTAAGAACTTAAAGTTGAAGTCATTTTCAAAATGACGTAACTTAAGTCTTTACTCCGAAATAAAAAAAAGATTTGTCATTAGAAGTTTTTTGGAAAAGATTTAAGTCTTTATAAAAGATTTAAATCTTTTTTTAATGACTTAAATCTTTTACAAAAGACTTAAATCTTTTAGAAGATTACATTTTTTAATGACTAAAGTCTGTTTAGAAAAGTCAGTTAGAAATTTTTAAGTCAGTAAAAAAGATTTAAATGTTTTTTTAACGACTTAAGTCATTTTACAAAAAATTTAAAACTTTAAAAGATTTGTCTTTTATGAGATTTAAGTCTTTACAAAAATGAGTTGACTTGAAAGACTTAAGTCATTTGAACTTTATATTAAAATTGACTTAAGACTTAAATCATTTTGAGTCTTTTTAAAACTGACTTGTTGCAGCTCTGTTTGGAACTTTTTGGCACTCACACATATGATGACAAAACCACAAATGCTTGATTATAGACTGCGCATGCGATTAGTCCCCCAAACTGGTGTGGAACTAGTAAAAACAACATTACTGTAGTCTATTAGTCTATTTTCTTTCTTTTTTCGAGATTTAGAAGTTGGTTTATCGTTATATCCTTCTGACATAAAATTGCAATATTGTATTGTGCAATTTTTTGTCCAACTGATGATTGTTGAATGTGAAAAAATACAGAAATAGACTGTTCTAGATAAATATAACGAAAAGAATAGGCAAATTGTTGTAATTGGAGTAAAGAAAATGTTCAAATTAGGTAAATTTTTAGTCATGGGTGTGACCGTTGACGTCTTAAACTCTGTTAAAGTTAAAACATTACAAAGATAAGATAAAAAAATTAGAGTTAACGGAAACACCGCAAATCTGTGTTATTCTCTAGGTGTAATTTTATTTTTGGAAGGCGAGTTCACTTCCGAGAGCATTTTTAACGAACAAATATGTGATATAAATACTTTTAAGAAACTAAAATTACTAGTACACTCACGTGCATAAAAATCTATTTTTCCGTCTTTTATGCTACGAAATATTGATGAGATTTGTCTCGAAATTGATACTAATAGGTACAAAAAATATTAAAATTAACGCACGTATGTCTTTAGTTGACACACGGTATAAAATGCATGTAAATATATTTTTCTGCTCATTTTGACTGACATATGTGCGTTACCCTTTACTGTTACCGTCACAGAAAGAAGAAATTGCTTAAAGATATTTGTACAGACTAAATAAAAATCTGTATTTTTTTCTAATATTTTCTATTTCATTTGAATTCTAATAAAGTTTGTTATTGTTAAATACAAATTATTTTTAACAGTTTATTCAATATAAAGTTGAAATTATTTGAGGCCTTAAACTTCATACTGTACAAAAGATCTTTGAAAAAAGCAATTTTTTCTTCCATTGAGACTTTTCACTTTCTAGGAAAATAAGAAATAACTAGTTTGGTCTCATTTAAGTAAAACATTATCTTAGTTAAGGCATGATTTTCCGTTCTAGTAAATTATTAATTAACAATCACGAAGAATCGTACTGACTTTACCTTATTTAAGTTATCAACCTTATATCTTCGTAGTCAAACGCTTTCTGTTAATTAGGATATACGTTTAGTGTCAATCGAAGCGCCATTATACTTTAGTTCTCCCTTTGAAATAGATGCAGAAATCTGCCGTTAAAAAAAATATAGTATTTACTATGGAGTGTGATTTTTTTTGAGTGTTGAATATATGTTATAACGATAGTTACATAAATTTTGTTATGATTGAAATATACTAAATTAAAATTAGCATTGACTTTTATTTCATTCTGTCCTGTTCGAGTTGTTTGGTGAGGTCGTTCAATTTTTCATAATCATTTATTTAATACGCGTTTTAATGTGTCTGAGATCAGATTTATAATGTATTTTGAAAACATTAAGCATGTTACGAAATTAGCATTTAAGCGCGTTCCGAACTTTTAATTTCAAGTAGGTATGTTTGGACTTTGTCTGGCCATTTAACTATAATGATACTTGGTACCCCGCTTGCTATGTCATTTTATATAAAGTACGTCTACTGGATCTGTGGCTATGAAAGGAATGCGGCCAAAAAACATTCAAATAAACAATATAATTTATACGTCGACTTGACAAGCATGTCACCGCAAATCGTTCCGCCCACTCATTTTATTGGCTACTTGCAAATTTGTCGAATTTTTATTGATGGGACGTGTCGTCTATTTTTTTACGAAAAACATGAGAGAATAGAGAACAACTGCCGAGTCGGCCGCCGCTGCTGACACCTATACGTAGACGTAAAGCATCTTTACATGTAAAAATATAAGAAATGCGCGTGCGTACGTAAACGTTTACCTGTTTGTAGTCTGTGCCGTTGTTCTCTATTATCGTTTCCCCTCTCACGGATACCCCGTAGGTACAGAACGAATAGCCGTACTGTATTGTATTTAATTTATGGGCTACAGTGAAATAAAAAATAAATAAAATAAAATCTCAAAGTATTTATTTATTTCTAAATACAATTAAATATTCACAACATTTGTTGACTGGTTAATTATATAAAATGACATAAATACTAATATATAGTGAGACACCGCCTACGAAAATCAAACCAAGTTTTCTTAAAACCAAAAACTTACAATATGTAAACAATGTGTCTACAAAAAAAATACGACTTTGCCATTAAACAAAAACGAACATTTGTTTCCAAGTAGACCCACCGAACGTTTAAAAACTAACCTTACATCTAATAATATGTTCTCGCTTCGATATATCTACCGTCTATTCTTGCTTTGTCCAGGTTTTTGATAGCTCTCTCTGCCTGCCATTCGTTTCCATATACAATGAGGAAACTGCCAGCACCCTTCTCCTCCCAGTAGGAAACCTCGCCAAATTCATTTAGTTTCTCCTGAAGGAGTTTAAAGGATGCCGAAGGTGGGAGCTAAAAAGAAAGAGAAAAATGATTTACATAACTTGTATTTACGGCTTTATTTGGAAAGGTGTTTAAGCTCCGCCCTCTAACGTGACGTCAGACTTGGTAGTCTATAGATTCAATATAGCAAAATAAATTTTGAGTATGTTTTCTGACAATAGAAATGTTCACAAAAAAATTAAAGCGTGCCTACTTCTCATAAAATCATTCATCATGACATTAAAACTCAGTATGCAAAGTTTCATAACATTCCGTAAAAGGCTTATGCCTAAAAAATCCGTGCGAAATTATGGTAATCGTCTTAAGCCGCTAAACGCTCACCTACGTCACTGCTTCGATCGGTATTTCCGCGCGAGTAAACGGTGCTGTTTGCACGCTGTGGAATTTCTAACAGAACCAGCTAGAATACGACATATATCGCGTTGTGCTCGGATGTAGTTTGTATATTAAATTTGGTTTATTGTGACATATTTGGAGTTTATTACTAGTTTAAAAACAAAGCTACTTAGTGAGATGGAGGACGGGTTTACTTAAAAGCTACAACAAACAACACTTGGTTTTTAACAATACAAAATTATTGAGTTTTTGAGCTGTCAGAGGCCGTATTTAGGAGGAGGGGGCCAAATTTTAATTATCATATTAAACTGAAAATTTGCATGTAACTTATGACAATGTAAAATTATCATATTGTTGATCTGGTACAGGGCCGAATTAAGGAGAAGGAGCCAAATCTTAAATTTTAATTGTATTGACCTGAAAATTCGCACACGTATACAGGGTGTCCATTTTAAAATGAGGTACCTACATGGGGATCTTGAAGACCATTAAAGTTACAAGATCGGTTAAATAGAAGAAAAGTTGCCTTTTTGTGTGTGTCCAAAAATAATCTAGGTCTATTTTATTTAATATTCATATACCGTTACGTAAATACAGGGAGCAAAAAAAAATGTGCATTTTCTAAACACCACCATATTTTCTTTATTATTGGAACTAAGGTCATCAAAATTTTAACATAGGGGCAAGGCAATATGGAAATTTTAAAAATTATGTCCAAAAAAGTATAGGCGTACTACGTTGCGCATGGCCGAAATGCACTTTTGCTTTTCCTATGGGCGCATTTTGAAATACATGGTTAAAAACGTTTTTAATAAGGATTTTTAAAATGCCAAATTTAAATATGGCGCTAATAAGAAAAATAAAAGCTGACCTCGGCCGTGCGCAACATAGAAGGCCTAGGTTTTTTTTGATATCATTTATGAAAATAAACAATACACCTTCGTGCACGTCTGCAAAAACAATGCGGCAATTGCACGATCGTACGGCCGCCATCGATCGATCAAAGCAGTGACGCCAAAAACAGGTAGCCTCGAGCCGGGTACGTTTCCTAGCCTTGCTGCATTTCTCAATTTTGTTTTACGTTTATGTCAGAAAATTATATTTTTTTAAGAAAAAATTTGAGTGCCGTGTTTTTTACTCATATGTAGCTACCGAAATTCATTGAAATTAGAAATTAGTGAAGTGGTCTATTCAGCATATCCAATAACAAATAAAATAATGTTTGACATATATTTTTCGACAACTGTCATTGACAACTTACAAAAATTACTTTTAAACATGTAAAAAGTGAGGTTATATTATGACAAGAGAGTTTATATCTACATAATATTATGTATAAATTTGATATAATATAAAAGACATTTGAAAAAAAAAATCTTTTGGGCATTTTGAAAAAAAAATCCCTTAAGATTTACATTGAAACAAAGTTAATCCAAAAATAACAACAAAGCATAAAGTTTTAGCATAGCCCAATATTTCTTTTTAAATAGAAAAAATTGGCAAATATCAGTGTAATAAATAAGCCAGATACAGTTCAAATTAAATTTGATAAATACTTCAGAAATTTAATAGATTCATTTGTTTTCAGTCAAATTTAACTTACATTAGAGATTAATATCTTTCTTGAAAAACTCTTGCTGTCAGAATTGGACTTCATCAGATTGTTTGTTGTTCCGAAACTGCTTTGCTGATAACTATTGCCCCTTTAAGAGAAAAAATAAAAACATTAGCTTTTTGTTAAATAGTAATACATTAGTAACAGTCAATTGAAATGGATATTGTGTTTCATTCTATTATTTCTCAATTATCTCTCAAGTTAATTTTTTACTCAGATCTTATATTAATTAAAATCAGTATCACTTCAATGATTTGAATTATGTTGAGTTTTTAGTAAATATTGTTTATTGTGTAATTTAGTAAAAATATTGTTTCAATGTAATTTTTATTAAATTAATATCGGGTGTAGAAGATGCTAACAACATGACAGTTTGGAAATGACAACAATTAATTCTGTGTATTAGAATATTAATTTAATGTACACATCGTAATTGCAAATTATTTGTTTGTAGAATATTTAAAATGCTGGACCCAAAATCAATTTTATAACATTCCATGACAGTGAGAGCGGTCTATTTTTTTAATTCACAGGTTAAGTTGTATTTTCTGTCATTTTTTGGATGTCATCTGTCTAAATCTTCCCTGTCTCGTTAGAGATACTTTATTTTTATTTTAAATGTGTTAAGTACTGTACAGGAATGCAAGATGCAAGCAAGTGTTGAGTTACTCCTATTTGTTTTTAAATCTTCCACTTTCAATGTAGTCAACAATGATCCTAGATCATATATACTTACGTGGATAAATCAACGCCATAAGTTTAGCATTAAAAAATATGTCTCCAACATCACAACATGCCATTTTCAAACCTTCTTTATTGCGCTTATGAAACGCTCAATAGGTTTGTCTTTCTCGAGGGCCTTAGTTTACGCCCATGCGCATTAAAGTTGCACGTATTTCCAAAATAATCACAATTTTATACGGTTTAGAAAGTACAAATTATACATTGTTATGGAAACCAACTTTTCATTGTCATCATATATTGTCATAATCATATGTCATAATATTATTTCCATTGTGTAACCTTTAGAACTTTTTCTTTAATGGCCATAAGCGGGAGTAAAAAGACCAACCGCCCGAACAAACACTAGAGGCGCCACCGGATCTAATTTTGACACAAGGGGTCGCGCTTAACTTTTTCAATTTTAATTCACTATTCATTGTTTTCAAACTATATTATTAGATTTTGTTGTATTTTGTGAATGTATAAATGTTTTCTTAGTATAAAGTTGCATCATAGTAATTTAAATTACATTACATACATATTTAAGATTCAAATATTATGACATATATGTCAGTTGCCGTCTAAAATGTCATCTTGATAAAAAGTTAGTTATTGTCAAAAGTAGTTAAAATCATGTTAAAATATTAAAATTTACAAGTTATAATTAGACATTTTATATTATTTCAACAACAAACACATAATAGTACAGCGTAATGTTGATATGCAGGTCCAAAACAAAAAGTGCCGTTATATTTTTCAGTTTTCTTTGTCAGCCGCAGAAGTTTCAGTGATTTTAGTGTTGTCGGATATTTTTATTTGTGAAATACAAATATTGCGTTTGGATTGGAAAACTAAAAGTGAAAGTTTTATTGCAATGTAAGTAAGCGTTTGTCCATTTTATATTTTACTTTTTTCATACCTACGACAAATATACATACTACATTGAAATTTTATAATTCGTTTTATTTAAAAAATGTTAGAAAACAAGCTTGTAGTCCTGTAATTGATATAATTGTTATGTAATATATTCCATTTAAATGTAATATATTACTTTTCAATTAAAAAAATGTAAATTTAAAAAATATATTAAAAATATATACAGGCATTAATTGAAATTTTTTGAGTGCAAACAAACACGAGAGGCGCTTTATTATTTACTTTCATTTCTTAACAATGACAGACGAAGTTCTAAAGGGGGATGTTTTGTGTGTGCAACGACGCTTGTTTTATGCGTTTTTTATTCAAAAATTGTATATATTACTCTTTATCTACTGCTTTTATATAGCCAAGGATGCAAGTGTGTTCAGTGAAGAGTTAATTTTAAGTTTGTGGAACTATATTTCTATTTTTTTTGGTTGGACTTTCTAAATACTCGTAAAAATGACTAGAAAGTGTTTAGTGTGTGAAAGTTCTAATATGAAGGTCACCAAATTCTTTTCATAGGTAAGTAAAGTATTCAGTTGTTCTTTTATTTATATTAAGCCACGTGCATACTTTCTGGTTAGATTTCCTGAGAATATTGATATTCGTACGGAGTGGCTAATGTATTTTTTATATAATTTAATTTTTGTGGCAGTAAACATTCAATTTATTGTTCAAATATAAGCATTTTACGAATTGAATTTTTAAAATTAATGTTAAAATTTGGCGCGTGGACAATAGGTTCTCGACAAAGATAGATAGAGTTGAAGCACCGAGTATGCAACAAAAAAAAGAAGATAAATGAAAGTCGTTGATATGTTGGCGACAGTTTCCATAGTGATTTACTTATCCACGAAGTATATATGATCTAGGACAATGATAAAATTGAGGAAGTCTGTCCAACAAGAAAATACATAACAGCGACAGTTGTCTGTCATTTCCAAACTTACTCGCTGAACAGGCGTTACTTATCAAGTGACAAAGTAATGATGACACAATTTTTTTAACCAAATAATTGAGTTGATATTGAACTTACCTTCCGCTACTGCCGTAATTCGTAGGGTACGTCACTGGAGCATTGGGGTTGTATGTATCGCTTGCCCTTCCAAAAGCGCTCTGTGTCGATCCAGTACCGGTTCCAGCATTAAGGTTTAATCCAGCGCCACCCCCCAAGTTACTGGAAGCTGCTATAAATTTGTTTTTTTATTAATACCTCCAAACATATTATAAAACTGCTATTAAAAATAAAACCTATTATTTCAATTTTAATTTCAAATCGTTTTTTTAAATTTCAGATACAAATATATTGTGAGGGAATTAAAAAAGATAATTAAATAATTAATAAAATATATAAAATTCATTACAGTACTCTACTTATATATTGTAAAAACATATTGTTACATTATGAAAATTCACCACAATACACAAAAAAATAAATTTTCATGTCAGAAACGAACATCGTCTTCAAATAAAACTTGTTCAAAAATAAAGACTTTCTTGTATTTTCTATTATAGGTAAATCTAACGCTTCCAGGCTGAAACAAACAACATTGTTTCAAAGACGCATATCCCCACAAAATACCTACTTTAGGAAAACTTTCGAATAAAAAGATTAAGAAAGGAATGTAATGATGCATTCAAGCATAAAATACTGAATCGACATCACAAGCCCCATCCTTGACAGTTCTGTTTGACCTTTCAACTGACTGACACATTCGAACTTGATTTGAAATTTGAACTTTATGGATTTGTGCTGTTCTGAACTTTTTATTTAAAGTTATATAAAACAAAACCAACAAATTATTGAGTACACCCTACATTATATTTTTAGTTTTTAGTTTCAAATGAAATAATGGCACTGATTAACCAGAATTTAATATGTTCCTTCCTTAATATTTTTATTTTATTCAAAAGAAACCGCTTTACTTACCGTTTTGTAAAGCGGAAATCTGCTGTTGCGTTTGCGCAGCCGCCGACAAAATACCACCATTCGTGTTCATTAACGACTGTAGGTCGGTGGTTCCCCCTAAGCCGTTCTGAAGAAAGTTCGACGTCAGACCTGTCAAATTAGCGGCGTTTAAACTGCTCAAAGCTTGCACATTACTCAATCCACTCAATGCGCTCGCCACCTGAAAAAATCCAATAAATAAAAGTGTTCTACAATGCTAAAATACACACACGATCGTGAAAAAAAAAACGGTGTCACGGTTGCCTTCCATATGTCGTTATTTCGAAGGTTATTTCGACGCCGTTTTTTTCCTAGATCGTATGATACAGTTTTTAACAATACCGAGAGGGGGTTGTTGGGTACAGCTCCCAAAATCCCCGAACCAGCCTGGGCTGCGTTGCCGCTGTTGGGCAAGTTGTGAGCGACGTTGCGGAGTGGTTCGCCGTTTTGGCCCAAACCCATACCTACGGCCTTCAAACCTTCCGGTAGTTTCAAGCTTTCGTTCGCCCTATCCATGCGAACTGTCATGGATCGGTCATTTAACACCTTAAAGAAATTAAGAAGTTTGGTATTCTCATGTAATTAAGAATAGCTCTCGGCTGTATGTCGGAAAGTATTAGTCGTAGAGCTTGCGGAAAAAAAATATTTATAACTAAAGAGAGCATGAGAAATTGCTGGAAATTATTTTCAAGGTTGTAGAGGGACCGCTAGAGGGCGCAATTGCTATTAAAAATAAGAAAAAGAAGTTTTTACACAATTTTATTGTTTAAACGTTATGATATAGAGTAAGAAACGCTCTTTTAAACGAGCCCCCGTTTGTCAGATTCCGTTCATCCAGTCCGGAGTTATTAATGTTTAAATAGAAACAGATCTAACCTTCCCCCACCACTTTATTTTGGAAGATAGGGGAAAATGGTTCTAACAAAAAATATGCAAAATTTTCTAAATATTATGAATCTATTATATATAGTATCCGTTATCTAGGCAAAATTGTGTAAAACTCCTTTTTCATATTTTTAATAGCAGTTGCGCTCTCTAGCGGTCACTCTACAAACTTGAAAATAATTTTCAGCAATTTCTCATGCTCTATTTAGTTATAAATATTTTTTTCCGCAAGCTCTACGACTAATACATTTCGAGATACAGCCGAGAGCTATTCTTAGTGGGACACCCGGTACATGATCATGATTATGATCCTTCAAAGCAATTAAAATTGTTTTTTTTTTATAAAAATAAAATTCTCCAGTAAAAACTGAGCTTATTTTCAATTGAAATTAAGAAAAGTCTTTCTAAAAATATACAAGTGTTTAAAAAATGAACGGCCAAATTTCTCATTAAATGAGACATTATATTATATACTATTCATTTCCAATGTTTATAGGAACTTTTTTCGTGCTTTCTATGAGGAGTCACCCTGATAGTTGGCTGTGAATTTGCACACAGCACCCTGTATATTCTTTAAAAAAAAAGCTGAGGTTGAAATTAGGCGAATGCTTATGCTTACCTGATTGTGGAACATGGAAATGGCTTGGACAGCTTCCACTGGGTGATCAAATTCTACCACGGCAAAACCGCGACTTCTTCCTTCTTTATCTACAGGGAGATCAACCCTGATGACTCTACCAGCTAGACGAAACACTTCTTTCAACTTCTTTTTGTCGACGTTGTATTCCAGCTAGAAGTTACACTGATGTAGAAACTTGTAATTGGGGAAAAGGGTAGTGTTACAAAGCAGAGAGACAGGGAGAATAAACAAAAAATAGACAATAATAAAACCAATCTACTGAGCCGATAAAATCAAACGGTATCAACTTTGTATTAGGCTGTAATTCATAAATTTTGATTGTCGCCTTTTTACTAGACTTGTGTTGACAACAAGAAAAAAAAAACTATTATTGAAGAACCCCATAAAATTGATAAAATACAGATTGCTTAATCCTATACTGCATTCCGAAAATTTTACTCCTGCCTATTATAAAAAAAAAGCCTCAAATTTAGTTGTAGAGAAAAATGCGGTAAACATTACTGTAATTTTGTACGTTTTCATGCACTAAAGAATTGCAACAACCAAGAAAAACCAATTTATTATGGAAGCATGTGAGAGTATAATGTTAAACTTTCCTTTTTCCTAGTTCTGCGAGGTTTTACAATATCATCTGTCTATCATAGCAGAGAGGCATCAAGTTCAGGTGTGAAAAATCGTTTCAATTGAGCTATATGTACTAATAATGCCTGTGAGTGTTGACGACCCAGAAACACAATTTGTTTTGGACAAACCCACTCACTAAAATTCTGACAGTAAAAACTTTTCCTTCAACTTCATTCTTTGAACTTTAATAATTTTATCTGTGTGGTATCGCAAGAAAGCCTCAAATTCACCTGACCGAAAAAAAAAATAATATGCATAATGCCTCTACAACATTGTAACCCATAGATTCTGGTTCAACGCCTTTTCACTAAACCTAGTGTAAAGTGCGAAAATGTTAACCAAAATTGTTTTTATTATTGCTGAACATCCTAAACATGATGCTAAAGTACTATTTGACTGCCTAATCCTTTTACTTCACTCGGTAATTTTTTCCACCTGCTTATTATCAAAAAAAGACCTCAAGTTTAATTGTGAAAAAAAAATGCTGTGACCAACATTACTGCAATCCCTAACTTTATATTTGGCAGGTTTTCCTTCACTAAAAAACTGCTAATGTTGACAACCAAGAAAAAAACCTATTAAATTTTGTGATAGTATATTATTAGTTTGACTTTTAGTTTCTCTTAAGTTCTCAAATTTTAACATCATCTGTTGGTCATGGCAAAAACGCTTCAATTGTGAATACCATTACAGCTGAACTACACGAACACCTGAGTGTTGACAACCAAGAAAAAATACTCTATAATGGACAAACCCACTTACTAGAATTCTATGATAGTAAACACCTTCCTTCAATTCGTTCTGTACGTTTTAACAATTTCATCAGTTTATGGGTTTACTTATTCAAAAAAATCTGTACAATGGTATTTACAACATTGTAATCCATATTGATTTAACGTCTCTTCATTAGAACCAACATCTTAAAGCGCTGTGAGTGTTAACAACCAGGAAATAAATCTATTATGATGAACCCCCTAAATATGTCACTAAAATACTATTAGATTGACTAGTACTTTTACTTCATTAAGTAAATCTTATTCCACCTGTTTAATATCAAAAGATGGCTTCAAGTCTACTTGTGGAAAAAATATATGAAGTGGACAACATTACTGTAACTCCTAACTTTTTATTTGGCAGGTTTTCCTTCACTAAAAATCTGGTAATGTTGACAATCAGGAAAAACAACTAACTGCAATGGACAAAAACTAATACTTTCTGTGATAATATACTATTAAGTTGACTTTTCCTTTAACTTAGTTTTGGAAGTTTTAACAATATCATCTGCTTTTCATAGCAAAAACGCTTCAAATTCAGTTGTGAAAAATCATGTCATTTGAAATACATGTAATAACACCTATGAGTGAGAACCAAGAAAAAAACAATTTATTATGGAAATCACGCTCACTAAAATTCTGTGATTGTAAAAACCTTTCCTTCTTCAAGTTTCAACAATTTCATCATCCATTTATTATTGCAAGACAGCCGCAGGTTCACTGATCCAAAAAAAAATTGATACATTGCAATGTAATCTACCACACTGTAACCTATAAATTATGATTTAACGCCGTTTGATTAGAAACCCAGCATACTAAAGCACTGCGAGTGTAAAAAACCAGAAAAAAATCTTAGTCCTTTTACTTCATTCTGTAAATTTTATTTCACCTGTATATTTTGATAATGAAGGCCTCAAGTTTATTTGGAAAAAAGATACAACAGTAATGGCACTGGTTTTCCTTCCCAATTTTTCTTTTTTTTTACAATTTAGATATTAAGTCATATTAAACAACAAAACCTCTAGATCTTTCACTTATTTCAATTTAAATATTATATACCAACGAGAAATTTCAAGGCCCCACTTTTTCAAGAACATAGTAATCTGAAAGATCATTTCAATACTCATGGCTTTCTATTTCCTTTAATCTTTTTTGAAAAATAAACATGTCCCAGATGAAGTTAGCAAATTCTTAGACTAATAATAAAGGGGATCCATAATTAGTGTATAACAAAGATATAAATAAATCTTAAATCAAGGTTCCATAAAAACACAAAGAGCATCAGTCAACAATCCTTCCAAATAGCAAGAACTGTAGGATTTAATGAAGCCAAATCTATTTTTGCTTAGTTTCCCAAAGTCTATCTTTTTTGGTGTCATAAAACAGGAAAGTCAAGCAAAATATCCAAAAAAATTGTGGTCTTTCTTCAAAAAAACAACAAAAAATATAATCCCAAGTTCGACCAAGTCCCCTTTAATAATTAGTCTAAGGATATTATCAACCAATTATAATAAAAAAAAATACATAATCGGCATCCAAGAACACTACTGACAGAAGTTTATAAATAAAATTGTAGATACTTACATTAGCAACAAAAACCCTGTTAACGAGAGGAGCGTCAATAAACAGGGATTCAAGAAAATGTGGACTTAGACCATAAGTATTGCCCCACTTGCCATCATCCTGACGAAGAGCATTTCCTAACCCGCCGCTACCGCGGTTCTTCTCTCTATCCTCCCTGTACCTGTCCTCATTACGAGACCTCTTGCCTCCGATGACATTGCCTTGCTTGTCCCTCATGTTGCCACTGTCCTCTTTAATGACAAGTTTACGGCCCTTGACCTCGTACCGCTGCATAACCTCAAGACATTTCTTAACAGAAGAAGGATCAGAAAATTCGACAATACCACAACCCCTAGGCTTATCATGATCATCGACAAACATTTCAACAAACGATACGTCACCAACTTGATCACGGAAAAGATCTTTCATATCTTGCCAGCGGTATTCATAAGGTATATTTGATACATACACTCTGTTTACAGATGATTTATTGGAGCCTCCACGATCTCGGCCTCTGTCCACGCTGCGGTCCCTCGAGTTTTCGGCAAACCGGCTTTGTCTGTCCCCCCGGCGAGAACGATCTTTGGATCTTTCTCCGTCTTCGCTCATCTTTCTAGATCACAATAATAACTATTTTATAAAACCGCAATATTAAATTGCAAAAAACTTACCCTGATTTTAGCGTATAAACAGATTTAAAACAGATGCGAAATAGAAAACCACCCACTATGTGAAGCGCAACGAAATAGAATACAAAATGGCGCCGATAAGCCGAGTCAATGACATTTGTTGCTTCGAAAGCGTTGCGATAGGTGGCGCAAAAATCAATAAAACTTAAAAGTCCCTAATAAAGAAAAATTCCCTAGGCCGCAAGCCAACAACTCGATAGCTCTGTCGATAGTAGGGATGTTTTTTTTAAATATATCGATATGGTCGTATCCATTATCCGCTGCGTCAAAAACTTTTATTAACGTTTTTATACAAAAACATGATCTGCAATAATGTTAAGAGTGGTTAATTAACTTGAAACATAATTTATTAATATCAAATTTGTTTTTTTTAATACAATTACTTGAATAGTAACAACATTAATAAATATTTCTTCATTCACTAGATTTCATCACAAATTAATTAATTTAAGTGCGTATTTATATATTCATAATAATTTATATTTATTAAATTAACTAAAAATAAATATATTAATTTAAAAGAAGATTCAATCATCAAATGGTGGTAAACCAAATAATTCTGGTTGAAATTCCTCTAAAGAATTTAATACTAAATCTGCTTGTTTTCTGTGTTCCTCAGCTAGACCTCGTTCAGGTATTAAAACACTCAACATGCCAGCAGCTGAGGCACCTTTAATACCATTTGGAGCATCTTCCAATACCAGAATATCATTAGGGTTGGGCTTATCAGGAAATCTCGATGCACATATTAAAAATATATCTGGCGCTGGTTTGCCATTTTTGACTTCAGGATCAGACGTACCACATACAACATGATGAAATAATTGAAAGACTTCTTGATGATTTTTTACTTTCAACTCATAGGAAAATTTGGATGCTGATGTAGCAATAGCGATGGGCACTTTATGTTTCGACAAATGTCTTATCAGTTTTTCAGCACCTAAAATGCTTAGCATTATTATATTACTTACTTATTATTTATTAGCTCTTACCTGGCATAAATGTGGGATGCTGCAACTCTTCATGCATTCGTTTATGATAAACATCCAAGAATTCTTCTGTTGATAAAGGAATTTGAAGCTCTTTCAGAAATATTTTTGCTGTATCCTGCTCTGGAGTGCCCAAAATCTTGAGCTGTATTTCATGTGAATATTCCTGGCCCCAATCATTTGCAATTCCGCCCAATATTCTTTGATATATTGATTCAGTTTCTGCAATAAAATCGTTGTAAGTTTTATTAATAATTTCATTTTAATAAATTAAATTTATTCCTACCTAAAATAGTCCCATCCATATCAAAAATTACGTGGGTCACCTTTCTGAACTTCATTTTATTAAAAAATCACTTTATTTGCGAACTGAAATCACGGCAAGTCAAGTGAGAACTGATTCCCGCTAAATGAAGTGAATGGTTTCAATATCAGTTAATCATTTAGATTAACATTGTGTAAAATAACACTTATCTTATGCAATATAGCCTAATGGAAAAATTTTAGCACATATTTTAGATCATTTTATTATAGTAAACAAAAAAGCGAGGTTAAGTAGTTAAGTTGGTTGTTAAGGTCATCTAAGGTCAAGAATGACCAACCTAAAATACACAAGAAGACTGACAATGGTGCTAATAACAGGGATTTTTCGTTTCAGAAAGTCATCATTCCATGACATTTGGTTGACATTTTAGTGTAAATTTTTGGCATTTTATTCATGATTTGTAATTTTTATCAATTTTTGTGGGTATGCTGTTTATATTTTCGTATTTTCTGATATTATTTTTTAAGAAATAGTAATGAAGATTGGTTCTATTAGGTTGTTTATTATTAATTGGCCGTTATTAAAGTTACATTATAACACTCTTTAAACCAATCCTGGTGTATAAGAAAAGACCCAGCCCAACTCTAAAATAGGTTATAAATATTGTGTTTAAAGTGTTTTAATTTAGTATCTACACTCGGGAAGAAATATAAAATATGTCTTCTGGACGCCCCATAAAATGCGTTGTGGTCGGAGATGGTACAGTGGGAAAAACCTGCATGCTGATTTCATATACAACGGACAGCTTTCCTGGAGAATATGTCCCTACAGTGTATGTATTGATATTGGTTTGAAATTATACTTGTATAGATTACGAATATGCTTATTTTACCTTTAGATTTGATAATTATTCTGCTCCAATGGTAGTTGATGGAATATCGGTTAGTTTAGGCTTATGGGATACAGCAGGACAAGAAGATTATGATAGACTTAGACCATTATCATATCCACAAACCGATGTTTTTCTAATATGTTTTAGTGTAGCATCTCCTTCTTCTTTTGAAAATGTTACTTCAAAATGGTATCCTGAAATTAAGCATCATTGTCCAGATGCACCAATGATTCTAGTAGGTAAGTAAAATTAACAAAACATTACAAATAGACTATTCCTAACGTGATTTGATTTTAGGCACCAAAATAGATTTAAGGGATGATAGAGAAACACTTAATAATTTAGCAGATCAAGGACTGAGTCCAATTAAGAGAGAGCAAGGACAAAAACTGGCTAACAAAATAAGAGCTGTGAAATATATGGAATGTTCAGCATTGACTCAAAGAGGACTGAAGCAGGTTTTTGACGAAGCAGTTCGGGCAGTACTACGACCTGAACCACAGAAAAGACGTCAGCGCAAGTGCATTATTATGTAAATTTTTCTATTAGATTTTTTAAATTATTTCAAATTTATTTTAAACAAACCAAAACTTGATATTAGGTAGAAGTTTTTAATTTACATCGAATCTCTAAATTTAATTTTTCTGGTTTTTGTAAAACACAAGAGGTTCTTGCACTAACAATTATAAATAAGGGTACTTTTTTCTGTTTTCATGCAGCAGGTTTTCATACTTCATACTTAATACAAAAGAGTATATAATATGTCCGTCCCTGGTACTGATTTCTTGTGTTTTTCAATGTTTTCTTTTTTAACTGACTTTATAAAATTGTTTGGTAGAAGATATATTTACAAATAGAATTTGTTCATTTAAATAATATATAAAAAATCCTCTTCCAACACAAGAATATATATAATCAATCTTATGAGGAATTAAGTGAGTTTGTAGATTATGATAGTAAATTTCATATAACCAATCTGAATCTTTAAAAATTTTGGTTTTGATATTATTTCTTAAGGTTTTGACTTATTTTTATTTATTGTGTTTACGTAACATTAAGACCAAGGTGGCAGCTTGAAGCAGACTGATAATGTAATGAAGGATTTTTAATAAAAAAAATTAGGCATTATTTTTTATACAGCTAGCTTTCACACTTAAAGAAAACGCAACAACTTTTTGTTAATAACTTTGGATTACATGCCACTTTGTAACATACAATTTTAATGTTGAATCAAACGTTCGAAACAGGATAGAACAAAAAAATAGGTAATCAAAAATTAACTGTATATATTTGTATAAATTTCTGTTACCCAAAGTTTATATTGGGTGTTGTTCAACAGCATTTAAAACTGATAATTATTATTATTAATAATAAATGAATAGCATTTTTATGTCAATTATTCATTATATGCATTTATATACAAGTTTTGTGCCATTTAAGAGACAATTTCTTTTGATATTTTTAAGTTGAGATATAGTGATTTTTATGAGGCTTATTTTTTATGTTACTGTACTACACAGTATAAATATTATTCCAGTGAATTTTCAGAAACTTAACGTAGCGTTATTTTGTTTATTTACTTCTTAAGGAAACGGTAGGGAACAGAAATACCGTATGGTTGAAAAAAAAAACCGTCAGAGTGGTCTCTGAAACGACAATCCATGACAATTTCAAAGGCTACTGTGGCGCCGTTTTTTAATCTACGGTATATATGCTGTGTGTTTGAAACTATGAGCCACACAGTGTGTAATTTACTAGATATTTAAGATTAGTTTACTGGCCACTAAAATATTTTCATTTATATTTCACAAAGTTTTACTGAGGGTTTTAAAATTTGTTACAACGATTTGTCAAAACAAATAATAACTTGTGGTCTTGACGCTTTTGCTTTTTACTTGTTATTTTTGTATTTATAAGTATGTTTTTTTGTATCTTAACTAACCTTAGTCTTAAAAAAATTATATAAAATGAATCTCCCCATTTGTACTGAACCTAAACATAAAAGAATTTTATGTTTTAAGACCAAAGTTAATGTAATATTCTAGTCACAATTTAAAGTAAGCGTTTCTTTGCACAATGAATCTTATCATCTCGAATCTACGATCACCTCTTACATTTTTCTTTTTTTATGTAAATCACATTAACTTTATTACTTTAAATAAATCTATATATTGTAATTTGCTAACTGGACATTTTATTTTGTGTAAATCTCCATCCATACTTATTTCCTTAACTGTTAAACCTAAGAATTTATTCTTAGGTTTATCACAGATAGCTTAGGGGTATAAAGGTATTCGGCAAAGTTTACAACCTCACCCTGTATATGGGACAATTCCATATACAGGGTGATGTCCTGTATGCCAAAGAAAATTTTAATTTTTTATTTTGCATAATTTGTACTTAATTTTTTTTCTGTTTAAGATGCTGTACAAATGTATTTACTAAAATATAGTCGAAATAGACTACCTAACTGACGCCACATCAGTGGGCGGAGCTTTAAAACTTTTCGAACAATGCATATAATTTTTTTTATAGCCGACTATTCAACTTCTCTTTTTTCGTCACAATAAATATACATTTAATTCTAGGATCTACTATTTCAAAATAGACTAACTTTTATCAAATTATAGAAAAATCTCTTCGCCAGCACCTCAAATATACCGGGTCCGTCACGAAAGTGCTCACCACCATAACTTTTTTATTTTTCCAGATGAAAAAACAAGATTTGGTATGTTAGTATATGACATAAATTAGGATTAATTGGTGAATTCAATTGATTTTGGTCACTTCCTGTTTCACCGGAAATGACTACAACTTTTGATTTTTAAATGGCACCCTCGGTATATTTCTAGTTTATTCGATAGAAAATGATCCTCTGAGTCATAGATAAAAGAAAATAATCTACTATTAAGATAGATATGAAACTTAATAGTAAAATTTTGGGTCAAAGCGCCCCTCCGTGTTTTTAGTGAAGACTACGTTTAACCCAGCGCCTTCGCCTTTTCTGCTGTAAATGTTTTTTATGTTTATATCTGAATTCAAAGGATTTATTTTTAAAGTTACACTGATATATTAGTATATCAGAGTAACTTTAATAAAACATAAGAATATATATATTTTACGATTTATTTTTTTATTTATTTTACAGAGTTTCATGGAAATGATCGTAAGTCGACTGGCTGTCTAATGAATAGACCGAGATTTATAGATTTTAAAGCGAACGAAAAAAAAATCAAACAACGAATACATACCATATATTTTTCTTTTATCTAAGATACATACCTTATCGTATGTTGGAAACACGTACATTTTTGCAGTTTTGTTAGTTTCTTTGCAAGATGCAACACAACAAGAAAACACCATTTTTACAGTAAATAAATAATAAAACTATTTCTGACTATGATATTTAAAATTTAGATAGATAGAAAATTAACAAACAAACGAGTATTTGCAAACGCAGGCACAAATTCAATAAAAATCAAAATTTTTCCTGCAAAAATCAGGCTTTTTTCACTGAAAAGGTATTTTTTGATTTTTCAGCAGTCATTGTCAAGTTGACAATATACAGGGTGTTTTCGAATTAGTCTAAAAAAATTATGGTGTGATTCCTCATGTGTTCTTAAAACAATTTTTATATAACCATTGGGTCTAAAGTACTTCCTTTCTGATCTACAGGGTGTTAAAAATTAAAAAGAAATCGATTTTTTTGCTAACATAAATGGCACACCACTGCTTTTTTAAAGAAAATATATTTTTTTCTTGACTGGCCATCTTTTTCAACAAAATTGATCTTTTGAGTTTTTCTTTTCATCAAACGGTTGTCGAGAAAAAAAATAAATATACTTATTAAGAGCCCGCCTTAATTCGTTTTCTAACGATTTTTTATTTTTTAGATTAATTAGAAAACACCCTGTATATGCATATCACAGGCAACCAAATAAACTAGTAACCTCTAAAAATTATTTTTCCTACCACTAGCGACATACCGTGTTTTTAGTGTGTACTAAAATATTTTATCAAAATTTCACCATATAAGTTTCCAGGCAATGCCTCTGAGTAGAATGGCATATCATATGTCAACTTTTGATATTTTCTCTCAAAAAAATCGTATTTTAAATTTCTCTAGATCTAGAATCGCAATCTAGAGTGCTATGGCTGTGTTAAAAACACAAATTTTTAAACAAGGGGCCTTGGAAAAATAGATTTGATCGTCTAATGTGTTTAGTGTCTTGTCCTGGCCAGTTAAAAGATGCCCAAATCATATTTTTAATCGTATCTCAATTTTTTCAAATGAAACAATAAAATTAAGGGTGGCTCATTAGCATATTTGGAAAAATCATTTTTTACAAATAATTTGTTACCACACACTTGGTATTTCGAGTCAAATTGTAGTTAATTAATCAATTAAATTATTATATAATTAGTTAATTAATCAATTAAACCATATGCGAAAATGTCAAAAGTGATATTGAGAGTGTGATTTTCTATCGAATAAAGTAGAAATATATACCGAGGCGCGGGTGCCATTTAAAAATCAAAAGTTGTAGTGTATGTAGTAATTTATGGTGGAACAGTAAACAATTAAATACCGTCAATTAATCCTAATTTATATCATATACTAACATATCAAATCTCGTTTTTCATCTGAAAAAATAAAAAAGTTATAGGGGGTGAGCCACTTTTGAGACGCACCCGGTATACCTTAGAACTGTTTTTAATCATATATCAGTGCCCAGCTCCATTTTATGTACTTCCTAGATATTTTATTCTCATTTGAGCCATAGCGTTACCAAACACGATGTCAAATGCCAAAACGAGGAAAATTTATACGAGAAAAACTATATATGAGTCATGTATTAACAAATTTTTAAAGCAAAGAGTCTAAAATAATTAAAGGTATCTTTCCTACCGCGTTGCCATAGCAACTGTTGAAAGTTTATTAAATTATTGATTAGATTCAAATGAATTTTAATAATTTTGAAAGACGGTGACAATACCTTTGTAAAAATGGCAGAGAGACTGTTAGTTACGACAAATACATTAGTAAAATACGACAACCCAATTTTAGTAACGAGACATGAACAATCAACGTCTTCGGAAGTAAGTATAATTCGAGTTCTTATAGAAAAAGTATTTGTAATCAGTGAAATTTCTTCAAGACCGACGAAGTTAAGAAGGGCGTTCTACAAGTAGAGGTAAAAAGAGAGACTGAGGAAATATTAAATACGATATTACCACCTAAAGAATGGGAAGAAGACGATCAGTTGTGGAGGCAACAAGTGTCCACGACGCCCGCCACCAGATTGGACGTGGTGAATTTGCAAGAACAGCTGGATATGAGACTTCAGCAAAGACAGGTACTTACATCTCGTTAAATACAAGATGATATGAATTTGTTGATCCATTTTAACAATTTAATTTTTTTAAGGAAGGTTGAAAATATACCGGGTGCGTCTCAAAAGTGGCTCACCCCTATAACTTTCATATTTTTGCAGATAAAAAAATGAGATTTGGTATGCTAGTATACGACATAAATTAGGATTGATTGACGTATTAAATTGTTTCTTGTCACTTCCTGTTTCATCGGAAATGACTACATGATTTTTAAATGGCACCCTCGGTATATTTTTACTTTATTCGATAGAAAATGAAACTCTGAATAGAATGACATATCATATACAACTTTCGACATTTTCGCTTAAAAAATCGTATTTTAAATTTCAATCTAGAGTGCCATGACTGTCTTAAAAACACTAATTTTTAATCAAGAAGCCTTGAAAAATAGATTTGATCATCTAATCTTTTTCCTGTATTGTCCTGGCCCGTTAAAATATGCCCAAATCGTTTTTTAATCATAACCCAATTTTTTTTAAAAGGAACAAGGGTGGCTCATTAGCATATTTGGAAAAAGCATTTTTACGAATAATTTGACACCGCACACTTGGTATTTCGAGTCAAATTGTCGTTATGAACCGCATGTTACAATTTCAAATAAACCATATGCGAAAATCTCAAGAGTTGACATATGATATGTCATTCTATTCAGAGTGTCATTTTCTATCGAATAAAGTAAAAAAATACCGAGGGTCTCATTTAAAAATCAAAAGTTGTAGTTATTACCGGTGAAACAGGAAGTGATTGAAAACAATAGAATATGCGTCAATCAATCCTAATTTATGTCATATACTAACATACCAAATCTCGTTTTTTATCTGAAAAAATAAAAGTTATAGAGGTGAGCCACTTTTGAGACGCACCGCCATACCGTATGATTGAAAAAAAAGTGCGTCCAGTTGGCTCGGAAATGACTATCGATGATATTTCGCACATAAATTTACATATAAAATGACAGCGATCAGCAATCTTCATTTCTTAGCCATCGCTGATGCCGTTTTTTTTATCATACGGTATTTTTTATTTATTTATTAATATCTCCGAAACTATTAAAATATTTTTACTCATATCCTAGGATTACATAAAGTGATCTGGGAAAGGAAGCAAAAAATGCAATAATATACAGGGTTTCCAAAAAAATCCTTTATGGGTATTTCGCCACTGCACTGCAAGAAAATCTACAAAATAAAATAATTATTTTTGTAAACACTTCTGCGTTAAACCTAAACGGACGCTGCTTGTCAGAAGTTATGTAAACATGTATACAAATTTGCCTAACAAAGCAAAAAAAAATGCTTAACGTTTCGGAAAGTTATCTCTTTCCGTCATCGGAAGCAAAAAAATACAAAGAATAAAGAAAAAAACTATTTAAAATATTTCAATTCAAGAACCATATACTTATAGGCTCGTGAAACTGGTATATGTCCTGTACGTCGAGAACTCTATACACAATGCTTCGACGAAATAATACGCCAAGTAACGATAAATTGTGCCGAAAGAGGGCTTTTGCTCTTAAGAGTAAGAGACGAGATGCGAATGACCATAGAAGCGTACCAAGCCCTTTATTGCAGCAGTGTAGCGTTTGGCATGAGAAAAGCCCTTCAAGCTGAACAGGGTATGAGTATATTTATTTTTAATAATTATTTTTAGTTAAACATTACAGTGCGACAGTCATCATCTGATGAATACTCATATTATACAGGGCGAGTCTTAAATAAGTGCGCACTCATACTAATAGCCTTTAATTCTTCTTCTCGTCAGTTATTGCTCGGATCGTTGTTCTCCACCCCTCTCTATCTTGAGCGGCTATAGAAGCCTCTTGCAGGTCGTGACCAATAATTTCTTTGGTTTCGTCCACCCAGCGCGTCGGAGATCTTCCTCTTGATCGTTTGCCATTAATCTTCCCTTCGATTATGATTTTTTTCCAGTCCATCTGTTCTTCTCGAAATCTGCCCGAAGTACCTAAGGTATGACTGGTTTATTTTGGTTGAAAGTCTTGTGTTAATTTCAACTTAAAATTGATGCGTTGGTCCGATGTTCTGTGTATGAAATTCGCATCATTCTTCTGTAGGCCCACATTTCGAAAGCATCTATTTTTCGTCTGTTTGTAGTTTTGAGTCCAGGGGCGCTATTCTGTACAATCGTCGGAATCGGTGAGTTACCGATAGCTATCGGTACGTATTTGGATATAGTAAATATGTGTTAATTGTTGTTGTCATAGTTACCGATCGGCCCTATGACAGATATCGCAAATTTGTACCGACGACTTTCGGTATCTCTACCGTGCCCTTGTCAACCTCACGGAAGAGATACCGAGAGTCGTCGGTACAAATTTGCGATATCTGCTATAGGACCGATCGGTAACTATGACAACAACAATCAACACGACGCTCATTGGCCGTACGTACCGATAGCTGTCGGTAACTTGCCGATACCGTATCGGTAAGTTACGACAGCTCTCGATATGTATTTGTATATAGTAAAAATGTGTTAAGTGTTGTTGCCATAGTTACCGATCGGTCCTATGGCAGATATCGCAAATTTGTACCGACGAAAATCGGTATCTCTACCGTGCCCTTGTCAACCTCACGGTAGAGATACCGAGAGTCGTCGGTACAAATTTACGATATCTGTCATAGGGCCGATCGGTAACTATGACAACAACAAGTAACACATATTCACTATATGCAAATACGAACCGACAGCTATCGGTAACTCACCGATTCCGACGATTGTACAGAATAGCGCCCCAGGTCTCTGATGCATAAGTAGCGATAGGAAATATCAATGTGTTTACTAATTTTAATTTGTTGAGCTGGGATATTGCAGAGTCTTTCCATATTCGTGTTAGTTTTATAGTCCAGCTACGAGCTATTGCTAGTCTGCGTTTGGTTTCCTCGTCACAGCCTTCCTTGTTTGTTATGAGCAATGTTATCGGTAATTAAACTTTGCAACCACCTCAAAACCATCAATCTCCCTGATGTTAGTAGGATTTCGGTCTATTATCATGACTTGCGTGTTCCTTTTGTTCAGCATAATGCCATGTTCCGCACTGATCTTACTCAACCTTCTCATTATTTGAACAAGTTCTTCCTCAGAGCATGCAAGAATTAAGATGTCATCGGCATACTTAAGGTTTGTGATCTTTTTTTCCACCTATCGTTAGTCCGCCTCGCCAGCCCTGTAAGACCTTTCTTATTATGTACTCTTCATAGATGTTGAAGAGTATGGGTGATGCTATACAACCTTGTCTCACACCACGTTTCGGACTAAAAAACTTTGTAGGCTCGTGAAACTGGTATCTAATGGTAGCTATAAAATCCTTTAATATTGTATATTTAAAATATTGTGAAATCTTTCACATGACTTATTATATTGATATCATTTTTGTATAAAATATATAAAAAAAATCTTGCGGTGCTTTAGGCAAATCGGACCTATTCCAAGAAGTCGATATATTGAAAAACGAAAAATTAGACCTGGAACATCAGATAACGGAACTAAAACAACGTGCAGAACAAGCTGACAGAAGGGCAGCAGAAACTCGTCTAGCTGAAGAAAGGAAACATACCGAAGAAATAGCCTTCCTCAAGAAGACCAATTTGCAACTAAAGGTAATTTCTTTAGAACCTTCGTTTGTTTTCAGTTTTTTATATCAAACGTCACGATCGATATTTTTTAGACACAACTGGAAGGCATTATAGCTCCCAAGAAATAGATGGCGATATTTTAGTATTAACAGTTATTTTATATGTATTTAATTTAATAAAAGATATGTAATGTAGTCGTGATCTATAGTTTTGATACAGATTATTGAATACCCAGTTAGGCATCTTGTTGTGGATTACTTTGTGGGAATGTCTAGGCTATGCCTACTCGCTACGACAATCATATCGTCGGCTTTATGACGAGAAGGCGTATCTCGATTTTTGGCGATTTTGAGATATCAACGTCATGACATGCCCAATGGGTCATATTTTAACATAGCGAATTTGCGCATCTCAATATTGTACCTTTTTCATTTTATATTCGTTTAAAAATTTGCCCCATCTCAAATACTACAATTCTTCGTCATGACGAAGAGACGTATGTTGAGATAGGGCTCTTTGTTATATCAATTATTGTTATACCAATTGTTATACTACAAGAAAGATGGAATTTGAGATAGGTCCTTTTGTTTTAAGTTATGAAAATGCATGCGAGAGAAAATCACCTAATTAATTTCTGATGGTTGCTTGGGACAAAATAAAACTTCTATCATGGCAGCAGCTCTCTTTTACAGTGTGATTTTAGAGTCTGTTTTTTTGCCAAAAACCATTGTTAGAATGAGCTAGATTCTGCACATAGCTGTATCGGGTATGCAAAAGATTGTCAGAGAATAAATGACCGAATAAAAGGAAAATTTTGATCGAAAGCAAACCAACGAAACTAAAATTGCCCTAATGGAAAATTTCCCGAAATCATAATTTTTCTAAGAACATTTTAGCGAACCAAAAACTTGCCCGAAAAATACAATAATTTTTATCTCATTATCATTGTCAGGCCATTGGCATTGTCATCCCTGCCAGTTTTTGGAAAATTTTATTTATTGTGCCTATCATCATCCAGCATAAACACGTAGAATGGAAGTCGAATTTGTTATCATTGAACAGGGAAAACAGAAACTGTTACTCCCAAGTTACTCCACAGTTATTTGTATAAAAAAAACGAATGAAGAAACATGTTTTGTTTTTGTTTAGTTTGGTTTTTATTAAATGGACCGTGAGTTTAAATGCCTTGTATTAATGCCCTCAATTAAGTAAATAATTACTAAAAATATATTAGTTAAAAAATGCATTTTTGTATAAAAAACAATATTATTAAAATAAGCTAGATAAAAGTATTTTAATTGATTACTGTCTTTGCTTCTGGAATGAAAATTGTCTTTGTTTTCAGTTGATCTAATCCAACGCGAATAAAAGTATTTAAAAATATTTGTTTCTGATTTTTTATTAATATATACAAAAAGGCTATATAACAAAAAGGCCTATCTCTATTAAACAATTAAAAATAAATTATTTATTAGAATTTACGCTCAATTTATCTTCAGAGCTCAATGTCTCCGTTTAAGTGTTAATACAAAAACACTATTAAAAAATTAAAGACTTTACATTTACTGGCCAAATAAAGTAAGTGATTTTCTTTAAATTGCTCGCCTGAAAAGTAGCAAAAATCGAGATACGCCTTTTCGTCATAAAGCCGACGATATAGTGGTATGATCTATAGGAAAATTGGAACAACTTTCGTTGCACGTCATCAATGACACCATGCGTCATCTTATGGAGTTTGCTGGTGGTCCTATTATGATGTGCAACGAATACGAATGTTATTTTAATTTCCCTTTAGCATATCTTATTACATCAAGTGGATTACACTATGTCTATACAGAGTCTCCAAAAAATCCTATATGGATATTTCGCCACTGCAAGAAAATCTACAAAATAAAATAGTTTTTATTTGTAAACACTGCTGCGTTAATCCAAACGGAAACTACTTGTTAGCAGTTAGATTTACAGATTTAAAAATTTGCCTAACGAACAACAAAATGCTTAACGTTTCGGATAGTTTATCCCTTTCCGTCGTCGGAAGCCAAAAAAAATACAAAGAATAAAGAAAAAAACTATTTAAAATCTTAAAATTCAACTATTCGAGAACACTTTAGTTTTTTTCTAAAACAGATACGTCTACAAAAACCGTTGACGTTCTGTTAAAATGACATTATATCAAGTTAAACTTCAAAATTAACAATTATTACCCGATAAAGGCGGGCGGCCACTGCGAGCGAAACTAAACTAAGCCAAGCGAAGATAAGATTTGTAAAAAATCAGCACCCATACTTTTAAATACATCAGCAGCCACTTGAGCGAAACTAAACGAAAATATATGAACGAAGATTCAAATCGTAGTTTAGTTTCGCTCGTTTTAGTTCGTGACAGGTTCCAGCGAATTTTTCGCAGCGATTAGTTCTATGATAGCAGAGATACAATACAAAAACGCAGCCAACTTAGCTGACTACTAAGAAAAAATCGTTCCCAGTAGCCGATGAAACTTATTTTCGTTTAGTTACCGTTTCTTTTTATATTCTTAGGTGAGTTTAGTTTCGCTCGCAGTGGCCGCCTGCCTTAACAATTACTTAATAAGGTAAAACCAAAAAGCCCCAAACTTTCTGTATAATAATTTTTAATTTTTACGTATGTTATGTTTATTTAAAGACGGTTTTTGTAGACGTATCTGTTTAAAAAAAAACTAAAGTGTTCTCGCATAGTTGAATTTAAATACTTTAACTAGTTTTTTTCTTTATTCTTTTATTTTTTTTTTGCTTCCGACGACGGAAAGAGATGAACTTTCATAAACGTTAAGCATTTTTTTGTTCGTTAGGCAAATTTGTATATCTGTAAACCTAACTGCTGACAAGTAGTTTCCATTTTTTTATTTTATTTTTGTTTTTTTTTAAATTACTTTAAAAATAAATGTATTGCTCATGCATCTGTAGATGTTAGTAATGTATGGCAATCGCTTCTTTGATTTTAAAGAACAATAGATACAACAAGATAAATAAACAACATACGTAAAATTTAAAAATAATCATACAGAAAGTTTAGGACTTTTTGGTTTTACCTTATTAAGTAATTGTTATCAGGTAGTAATTGTTAATTTTGAAGTTTAAATATTAAGTTAAAAATGTCATTTTAACAGAACGTCAACGGTTTCTTGTAGACGTATCTGTTTTAAAAAAAGTAAGTGTTATCGAATAGTTGACTTTAAATATTTTAAATAGTTTTTTTCTTTATTCTTTGTATTTTTTTGCTTCCGACGACGGTAAGAGATAACTTTCCGAAACGTTAAGCATTTTTTTTTGCTTTGTTAGGCAAATCTGTATTACCGTAAACACTTCTGACAAGCAGCGTCCGTTTAGGTTTAACGCAGAAGTGTTTACAAAAAATAATTATTTTATTTTGTAGATTTTCTTGCAGCAGTGGCGAAATACCCATACAGGATTTTTTTGGAAAGATGAATCCGCCACATAGGTATAGACATTTTCTATATAGAGTGTCCCACTTCCTGTTGTGTTTTACAGGGTTTCTCGATGAGTAGATATACAAAGATGCGATTTTCACATCACTGTGCTACTTTCCTTGATTTCCAGTTCTAGCCCTCTTAGTTCCTGAAATACAGGGCGAAAACTAACTCACCATTACGAAAGATGAAATCAAAAATCACTTTCTAGCATTTAAATATATTTATTATGACTTTTCCAAAGCGCTTGGTGTACAATATATTTTATACAAATATTATAAAGTATATAAAATATTAACAAAGTTCTCTTAAATCTATTAATATTGACATAATTTCTTACGGGCTACATCTCAAAATGGATCCTAACATAAATGCATATACTTAAAAAATTTAAGTACAATGTCGTTTGTAACCTCTCTGACGTGCAAACTCTCGAACTAATACAACAAAACACATTAAAAGAGAAAAAAAATATATTTAAAAATTGCACGATACGTGTTTCAGACATGAACAAATTGTCGTTTGTAAAAAATAAATATAACAAGATTTAAAATGAAAATACTTACAAACTAGAAAATACTAAAATTAATTCAAGCCTAATGTTATTCAAAGATAATCATCAAATCAAATTTGCTTAAAATAAATATATAATAGGTACTTTATACAAGGAATATTGGACAATTGAATAAATTAAGAGTTTTAAAAATAGCATTATGAACTAAACCCATTCACCCTGATAAGCGGCTGTAAAAAATTGAAATTGTATCTAGTGTATTAGCGCGAGTTTATATGCATCCGTTTCACGTCGTCCGTTGTTGATTTTACGGAATTTTATTGGTTTATTTAAAAAATGACAGGTAATACCTCAACACGATTGGTGCGATTGAATGACGTATGACGCATGTATATAAACCCACCTTTAGTTTCATCCAGATTTTAAGAAATAACGGTATTGCAAAGTCAAATTAAACTGATATGCTATTGTCAGAAATTAAAAAAAAAATAAACGTTTTTAAAATGATCTAAAAAATATCTTCTCTTGGCACAGAATCACAGAAAAGAGAAATGCAAAATCGACATTTTGAGTTACTCGCACTCCTAAGTAATACTTTAATTTGAGGTTAAGCGTATGACTGCCATTTTTTGATAGTATTTTCTTTATCTAATAGTTAGTTATCTGAGAGAGATTGGAGACATGGACATGTAAGAGTCAGTCAGTTTAACTCAGATAATATAATTAAGAAATTGTTACAACGGCTATAACGCTATATCGATTTTTACAGACGAGATCCAAAAAATGACAAAATACAAACTATTTTTTGAATTAAAACAACAGACAACTCTGTCACTAGTCAATTTATAGATTTCATATTTATTTTACTTGTAATTCAGAGCCTCGTCGAATACCAACCAACAAAAAAATGGCATCAAGGTCAACTAAAATATCCAAACGAACTAAAACAATGTCTTATTCTTAATTTCTAAATTCTGTGATAGAACAGTCAAATGAACGGAATGTTTACAGGGTCTCAGTGTTTACCCTTCTTCGTTTTCTTGCGTCGTTTTTTCTTCGTATTGGTAGCGCTGCTTTCGCTGACGTTTACTATAGGTTTGTCTTCGACGGTGGGCGTGGCAGGCTCAGAGGCTGTAGTTTCCGTGTCGTACTCCTCGACTTCTTCGTGGCGAGTCGCATCTTCTTCTCTCTCTTCCTTTTCGATTTCTTCCCGTTCTTCGTCTAGGGGCGTTTCGTCGGATGATTTCGTCAGTTCTAAGGAAATTATTTTTTGTTCTAACGTTTCCACCTAAACATAATAGAGTCTTTTAGGTTCCTGCTTATGTAGAATTAAGTGAGGCCATAAAGAAGGTTCATGGCCATGTAAAAATGTATCCATTATTCTGTAAATGACAAGGAGATGTCCGTGAAAACAAAGATCGAGACTGTATGAGTATTGTACTTTTACTGATTGTATACTCGTATGTATTGTACTTTTACTTAAGAGTCCATTTCGCTAGTCCGAAAAAGTAGCAAAATAAGCGTTCAGCATTTAACGTTTTATGTAAAACTGGCTAGGTATTTTTACACAAATGAAGAAGGAAATTAGAGATAAAGGATTATACTATATCCGTATTTTAGCACATTTTTAGACAACTTCTTTATTTTTAAGATTTTGATGGTCAAACATCAACAAAATATTCCTGATGTTTGGAATAAATTTTCTCTAAAATAAAGACATAATTTAAAATTCCGTTACAATACGGAAATAAATCGAAGTTTTGTGATTACAGTGATATATAATTTATATAGTTTGGTAACAAATTGCTCGCTAATTTATGGCAAATGCTGAAGCTCTGCAAACCTTAATCAAAGCACGTGTGTTTGGAATTTTTGGTGTGTTTAGCACGACAGGATCGGGCTAAGCTTTAGGCAGATTTCTGAAATATAATATATATTTCCTTCGACCACACACTTGATTTACCCGATCCCTGAGAGCGACCCCAACAGTATAGCGTAATAGACTCTTAAAGTTCAACACTGTCTTCTAGTATGAATTAACAATGATTGAAATAGTTGGCAATACTGTGGTAGAGGATTTTAGGATTAGTGATTGGAACTGAATGAATTGATGCTGAAACAAATGATCTATGAAAAATGTTAACAAATTATATCAATTCATTGACGCCATTTTTTTGGATTTTCCAAAATAAACTTCTTGAAAATGTTCAAATTTTGAGCTTATTTGTGAAATCGACACGTGTTCAACATGGAAATCAATATTTACATAATCACGGCTTATTTTCTTCCGGCGTTCAAAATGAGGTTAAACATTGAACGTAATAGGCGAAGTAACTTTAACCAGGAAGTAAGAAACGAAGATGGAACATTATGATAAGGTCATATAAAGGTACATTTTGCCTTTTAAGTTTATACAAATATGTACAACTTCTTACTATTAATTACAAATATATTTTATCGTATATCGGATACGCCTTCTAATAAACATTTTTTTGGAAAAAATTTGTATCACAAAATAGTTTGTGATACTTTCAATAGTTTGTGATACTTTAATATATATGTTTTATTATCTAAATTTATTGCCAACCAAACGAGTAAAATCAGTATAGCCGACTATTTTAATCATTGTTGATCGCTCCGTAAAAGATCAGTATTTTTTTTCTGAAAGGAGGTTTGCACTAAAAAAGATACTCTAGTGTGATTTAGATATTAACATTGTTATGAATATATTGAATAATGTAAAAATTATACCGGGTGCGTCTCAAAAGCGGCTCACCCCTGTATCTTTTTAATTTTTTCAGATAAAAAAACGCGATTTGGTACGTTAGTATATGACATAAATTGGGATTGATTATCATATTCAATTGATTTCTGTCACTTCCGGTTTCACCGGAAATTACTACAACTTTTGATTTTTAAATACCACCCTCGGTATTTTTTTAATTTATTCTATTGAAAATGACACTCTGAATCGAATGACATATCATATGTCAACTTTTGACATATTCGCTCAAAAACAAATTGTATTTTAAATTTCAATCTAGAGTGCCATGACTGTGTTAAAAACACTAATTTTTAATCAAAGAGCCTTGGAAAAATAGATTTGATCGTCTAATGTTTTTAGTGTCTTGTCTTGGCCGGTTAAAAGATGCCCAAATCGTATTTTTAACATATCTCAATTTTTTCAAATAGAACGAGGGTGGCTCATTAGCATATTTTGAAAAAGCATTTTTTTACGAATAATTTGATACCACACACTTGGTATTTCGAGTCAAATTGTTGTTATGAACCGTATGTTACAATTTCAAATAAACCATATGCGAAAATGTCAAAAGTTGACATATGATATGTCATTCGATTCAGAGTGTCATTTGCTGTGAAATAAAGTAAAAAAATACCGAGGGTGTCATTTAAAAATCAAAAGTTGTAGTCATTTCCGGTGAAACCGGAAGTGACAGAAATCAATTGAATACGTCAATCAATCCCAATTTATGTCATATTCTAACATAACAAATCTCGTTGTTTTATCTGAAAAAATAAAAAAGTTATAGGGGTGAGCCACTTTTGAGACGCACCCGGTATATGTGAACAAATTTTCATGACTACGAACCTTCTTATATAAATAATTTGTACTCAGTTTTTTTCTCTTTGACAATTTTACACAAAATAATGAGAATAAAAACAAAAATATGTTTCTACCATTTTCTACTGCAAAAGCATGCGACCCCTTATAAAAATAAAAAGTAAACAGCAAGTCGAAAGCTTATTAGAAAAATTTGCGGTGTAAATACATATCCAAAAATTTGTCCTTATTTACAAAACGTATTTTTTAAAAAAAGCAATATTTTTTTATTTCTATATAAAATTTAGCAGTAGCAAAAGCATTTTGTAATATTTACAATATATGTATTTTGGGTAGTTCGTTAACTAATGAAAAAGATATGTACATAATTATTTATATTAAAAATTAACCAACATTGCGTGTAGTTTTTACAGTGACATTTACCTAGCAGTGGTTGTTTTATTTTGAAAAAAAATACATAATTATAATTATGTGCGTTAGTGCTTCCTAGTGGCAAAAAGATTGTGAAGAGATTGTAAATTGCAAAAGCTCTTTAATACATAGTGTTGTGATACTTTAAGCCTAAAAATGTTTACTAGCAAACCCTGCATTGTCATTTTAGTGCGAAGTGTACCAGATATAGCCGTAACTGTACCAGAAATAGCCGTAAAAACTCATCGCAACTTTATTAGATTATTTTGAATGGGAAAGCGGTCCTTTAGTGGCCCTTTATGTCCTTTAAGAGTTGCTAAGGAAGTGAGTTTTGTTGATGTAAATAATAACGTATATATTTATAATTATATAGTTTATTTTTGTTTCTTAAAATATTTTCATTAAAAGAAAATATATAAAAGTGGGACACGTTTTGCCGGTCAAGCTTAATCACATGACTAAAAGTTTATTTGGTATGAACTGTACTTGAAATTTTCTAAATAATGATGTAATATCACAGCTTATACAGGGTGGCGCCTCTCATACGCCGCGGAAGCTCCAAGGAGAACGGTAGTTTATATCGAAATGAAATTTTGGCAGCATATGTAGGTTAACTGAAAGCATTTTATAAAAATACATAGAATTATACAGGGTGTCCCCAAAAAAAGTTACACATCAAAGTTGTGTTTTCTCTAATGGAACACCCTATATATTAATTGATTTTCGGATTCTAGGAAAAAAATGAAGGTGAGTTTTATTAAAGAAGCATATACCTAAAATCTAAGGATTTTGACATATTTCACATTTTGTGAAAATAAAGAGTAAATTTTAAATTTCGATAACAGCTACCTAAATTTTAGTTGACCTTGTATAGCCTGATATTTAATTACAGTAACCATTGTATGTTAAACCAAATTGAAATTTAATCCAAAAAGTTATACAGGGTGAGACAAAATTAATATGGAACATTAGTACTTTTAAAAGCAAGTTACTCCTTTATTTTAAATGGAACACCCAGTATATTTTTCCGGTGTTCAATGGGGAATTTATATATCTTCAAAAAATTATTAAGGTTGCCTACCCCTCAGACAAAGATTTTCCCAGATATTTTAATTTTTATGATTTTGCGTCAGTAAATCTTTATTATTTGAAAAAATCTAGGTGGCTGTGTGATATACCTTTTATTAATTTAACAAAAAATAAAGATTGTGGAGTAAAATACTCAAGGGTAATGAAAAATACACGTTTAAAACATATTTTAGTTATTACAGAATTAAAACTAGATATAAACCTATAATATTATGCGACAAAAATTAGCTGGATGAAATCAAATGCTCAAAATGCTTCCTTTCCTGTTAACTGCATAAAATGATTGTCTTTTCAAAAGGATCTTTTCATTTTAAAAGGCATATGTGGAGTTCTACCTGAAAAAGCGATTACAATAATTTATCTCATGCTGTCGACACTAGTTGGTCGAGTTTTTTAAACACTGTCTTTAACATATCCCCATAAAAAAAACCCAGACTAGATAAAATCACGAGCATTTAACTATTCTATTAATTGGTAAATGCACACTGCATTCACCAACTAATAGAATCATATCAATTCTCTCTGATGTAGGATAAGTTTACATTTTCGGCAAATTCCTGAGAATTTTTTTTTGTTTTCACTGACAAAAAATTATAACTAGTTATTAAAGTTAAACTAATTAGACAGCTATGTTGAAGTAACGTCAGACATATCATAGCCACCTAGGTTTTATCAAATAATAAAGATCTACTCAGATCAAATCATGTAAATGAAAATATCTAGAAAAATCTTTGAGGGGTAGGCAACCTTAATAGTATTTTGAAGAGACAGGAATTCTCTTTTAAATGTCGGAATAGTATACTGGGTGTTCCATTTAAAATAAGAGCGTAACATGCTTTTAAAGGTGACCAATGTTCAATATTAATTTTGTCTCACCCTGTATAACTTTTTGGATCAAGTTTTAATTTAATTTAAAGTAGAATAGTTAGTTTAACTGCATATTAGGCTACACCGGGTAAATTCCAATTTAGGTAGCTTTCATTGTAATTTAAAAATTGTTCTTTATTTCTAGAAAATGTTAAATATGTCAAAAACCTTACATTTTAGTCATATACTTCTCTTACAAAACTCACATTTATTTTTCTCCTAGAATCCAAAAATCAATTAATATATAGGGTGTTCCATTACAAAAAACACAACTTTGATATGTAACTTTTTTTGGGGACACCCTGTGGAACTCTCTATATTTTTAAAAAGTACCCTGAATTAACCTACATATGCTCACAAAATTTCATTTCAATACAAACTGTCGTTCTCCTTGGAGCCTCCGCGGAGTATGAGAGGCGCCACCCTGTACAGATTATAACCTTTGTTTTTTCTTTATTGTTTTTCGTGGTTCCAATTTTCGGAATCGGGTACTAGTTAGGTTACTAGTTTGCGCACATAGCTCGCCCACTTATGGCCTCTAAAATTGTGCACAGCGTCTGACCGGCCCAGTTATTAGAGAGATATCGGTAAACCGAATAGCGTCATGCAGTATTTACGCGTACATTATTTTCACAGTTACGATATGCGCGAGTCAATTTTTAACGCAACGCCCGCTAATAACGTTACCACCTGACGTAATTTGCGGATCAATTACACCAAGCGTTTTTTAATTAAATAAATATGGCCCAAAATATGGATTCCACCTCCTCCAATATTACAGAACCTATAAAGAGGCTTAGGTTTACAGCAGATGACGACTTAGCCCTTCTATGAGAATCTGTTCCCCTAAACCCACTGGCAGACGTTGTACAACAGTTTTAAAATACCTAGTAAACAAAACAATTTCAAAGTTTTAAATTTAAAGTTAGGTTAAGTTTAAATAGCGGACGCGACGCGAACAGAATCCTTTCCGATCCGATAACTATAAATGAAGAGAGTTAATACCACTTCACGTAAAGGAAATAACACTTGGCGTTATTAACGTCCATGCACGCTATTCGGTTTACCGATATCTCTCTATTACGCTGTTTATTGTTATTTTACGCGAGTTTATTTTTGCGCACAGGAAATTTGACTCGTTTGCTCATCGTCATAAAAAACAATTTTCGTACCACGAATTAGGGATAATATTTTTATCTGTATACATATAGTATACCTAATCTGTGGTAATACTGACCGATGGTTTTACAAACTAGGAATAAATATGCCATAAAAAAGTTAATTTAGACACTTTATAATATTTATATTTGCATTTTGACATTTGTCAGGGGTATCAAACCCTTAATGTCTAAAACTCCAGGAGTAATTATAATAAAAAGTTCCAGTTGAAATATCACCTTTACCACCGCTTTTTATTCCATCACAGATTGCGTTCAGAAATAATTTTTCTTATAATCATACCCACACATAAGACAAAACAGTACTAAAATAACACAAATAAACAAACAACCATTGATTTTTGCCATACTGTGCTTATTAAAACCCCTCAAACGTCCTTTAAAAAACTTGCTGTTTACCTCAACCCAGTATCCCTCCCCCCGCTACTACTCTAACCCCAACTAAATGCGATTCCTCTCAAAACTAACCAGTAAGGGTGCAAGACAGAGAGAGACAAAGAGAGAGAAGAACATGCTGCTGCGCGCCGGTGCTGCGCTATACCTCTCGCTCGATCAGTTTCTCGACCACTTCCACGGTGCGCACACGTCTCTCTCCCGTGGCTTGGTCCACGTACTCCTCCGTCTTCCTGCTCACTGTCTCGCCCAGCACCTTCTCGCTCTCGCGCACCGTGCGGGCGGCGCCGGCCGGTTTCTCGCGCAGCGCCAATCGGGGGAAGTCGGCGGAGGATGGGCGTAGGGGCGTGGCCTCGTCGTCGTTCGGTGGGGGCGGGGAAGATGATGTTGGCGACGGCATGCTGTTAGTGCAGACGGGCTGCGTCCAGAAGGGGGTTAGTTATTGTAGTCATGCGTGAATTAGAGAAATAGGATGGTTGTCGATTTTATTTATTGATTTTAGTGATATCGGTGAGAAAAAAGGTTTAGTTACGTGGTTGACTAGATGGGCTCGTCGTTTTTTGGTTATAATTCATTAAGTACCGCGAATTTTGACAATTTTTAATTTAAAATTTTCTAAAATTATGTAGTGGCGGCTATAGATTTTAAAAAGGTTGCGATGTGGCCCTACATTATTGAACAGGATTATACAAATCAACTTTATTCATAACCTCTCAATTAGTGGAATTAATTAGTGGTGTCAATTAGCGTAGAAGTTTGTTCTTTTAATTTCAATGTAAGCATTCAGAACGTCAAAATTAGTGGTAGACATGTTCAATTAGTAGAAAAAGTTATCAAACTTTTAACTTTTCCACTAATTATACTTCAAAATTTGAGAGAAATGTCATTTTGGTCATTGATTATCTTCCGCCAAGAGAAATTGTGGTTATAAATCAAAAGTTGATTGTTTTATAAGCTAAATATTAGCCATTTATACCAAACTAAATATTAGGCTTTCTCTATGGATACAACTAACTAACGCAAGCTGTTACTAGGATATTCTACTAATTTTAATTGTTTTTTTAACATTGTGAATGATAGTAAACTAAAAAGTATAAAGTGTAATAGAAACCACTAATTGCGAGGTTCTGAGTGAAACTTTATACTTTTAACGTAGGTTTTGCCAAGCATTATAGCATCATCATCAGTATTGATGCGTTTTTTATTCACGTGCCGATGTCAGTAACATCAGAACATGGTGTATTGTAGCTGATATGTGTATCTTCCAACCCAAATAGTACTTTGAGATTATGGATTTCTTTGACCCAATTAAAAAAATAAAGGATATAAAAGCCTCCATAGACGCTCAGTTTTTTAGCACAGGCTGACGGCCAATAATAGCACCATTAATTAGTTTCAGAACATTTTTTCTATAGTAAAAATGACTTCCCGATATACAGTTCGGTTTTGCATTCTGCTCGCTTGTGCAATAAAGATTTTTATATTTTTTTTCCATATGTATGGCAAACTGTTGTATAAACGTTGTATAATTCGATAAATTGACATAAAAACTTAATACACTGAATTATACGTTAATACTAGACTGAACTTTGCCTATGGACTGAAAAAAAAATTAAGAAAAACCACACACGTACCGATATGACTGTACAAATCAGGTTTGCACAAGCGGCCTGTACGATAAAACTGGGCGTCTGTGGGGTCCTTAAAGAAAAATTAAAAATATCCAGTTTTGCAATTTAACGCAATTTTAATCATACCTAGGACAATTTTTGTGTGTCATGAAAATATTGCTTTATATTTATTTTAAAATTGGATAAATATGTACATATACAGGGTGTCCCAGAAATAAGTGCAAATATTTTAAGGGGTGGGAGATCTCGATAAAAGAAACGTATTTTCTCTTTACCGTTTTTCAAATAGGTCCAAAATAACGGAGTTATTTTACTTTGAAAATTTAAAAAAAAATGTTTTTTTGCTAAAATTTTGAAGACCACTGGATCTTTTCTGGATTTTCTTTCTTGTAAATTTAATCCAATACCTATGTTGCCATATTATCAAGAAATTATGTTTTATAAGTAAAAACTAAAAAAAATTCCAAAAAATGCCGAATTTTCAAATTTTTTTCGCGAAAAAAAACTCTTAGGCGTGTTTCTGGGGTTGAACCCAGTTGAAATATTTGCACTTATTTCTGGGACACCCTGTATATGGAAGAATAGATTTCAATTTAAATAAAAAAATAAATTTATCTATTACTGTTACTATTAGAAGCCGCCACTGGTAATGAGTACTATATTAAATATAAATTAATAATTATTCAAAACAGTTAATGTTTTAAGTTTTTTTGAGCAATACATTTATGACGGTTGATATATTTTAGTGGAATTATTTTTGTATGAAAATTAACATTTTAAAACACCGAAAATGTGAATTAAGTTTGGGATTATATATTTTTAGCAACAGTTATATTATTTTTATTGATTGTTAAAGACGATTGTGGGAGGTTCTCCCACCACTTCTTTCCTGCCACTGTTTGACTAATAAATACTCCCTAAACAAAACAGATCTTTTTTGATTAAGAATAAGACAAAAAAAACACACAGAAGAAACACTAAATTGTTATTTACTAAGATTTTTTTTAAATATCTAAATATCGCGAGTAAATTTGGAATAGAACGGATGGAATAGATTTTGAAATAAAAAAAAATGTTAGTGACAACATGCCATAATCAATTTTTGTTAAGGCTCTTTTGTAACCTGAAATGGTCATAAAGGACAGGTTTTACTTATACTAACATCACTGTTAATATCAAATGGAAAATCTTGCAAAAATTGAAATTTTTACAAAATCTTCGTTAATATCGTATTTAGTATGTAAATTTGTAGTAGCTACAGACTACTTTAAAGCATATCGTAAGAGTACTACTTTATTAAAGGCTTACCTCGCTTTTTACGTCGGGTATGTCTGGCATGGCTGGTATTTCGCCCGCACCAACCATATCGCTCATTGATTTGATAACCATCTGAGCTTGGATTGCGTCTTGCTCCAAAGACTAGAAATCATTGAAACATTTTTTTTATTACCGGTAATATAAAAGTTTGGTTCAAATATAACTTTAGATTGTATTATTCTAATTTGTGGCTCTGTAAACAAATTCGATCAATAAACAAAAAAAAACATTTGATGTTTCTAGTTTTAATCTCAAACGAATTACTTTTCAGAGTATTTCTATGGGTATAAATCTTTTAAAAAGATTAAGGAAGGAGCATAATGCTATTCATGTATTCATGCATGGTTGACGGAAAGAGGACTCTAAGGGTGGGGTTCTTTGACAGTTCTGTTTGACGATTCATTTGAATTTGATTTGAAATTTTGTGGATTTGTCAGTCTTTACTGAACTTATTTTATGTTATTTACTATTTATTCTACTACTGATAGTTGTTTAAAGGTAGTAAATCTAGAAGGAAATTGTGGCAGAACTTAAATTAACAGTGACACTATTGCGATTTATCGAAAAAGACTAAAACAGTTACTCGTTGTGTAGCGTGCGGTAGATCTCGGTCAAAAATCGAGGGAAATAATGGAATAACTTTTCGCTAGTAAGTGACTACATATTACGCAAACGTGTAGTAAACCGATATATTTCTTCTTTTATATACTACTTGTCAAAGATTAGATGTCAAAGATTTAGATGCGTCAATTTGACTTACCTGCTTCAGTAGCGTATCGGATATTTGTTTTAATAAATAATTATTATAACTTATCAATTTTTATTAGAATTATATATTTTTATAACAATTTTAATAACTACCAACATTTATTCACAACGTAAAATAAAGCAACACATTATTGAGTCTACCCTACATGATATTTTTACACGTTTTAAATAAAATTAGAAAGGCACTGATAAACCGGAATTTAAGTTGGCCATTTTAGGAGCCCGTCGCTTTCGATCTATTTTTGATATGATTCTTCCTTAATTTTTTTATGCAAAGGTTTAAATAAGTAAGTAATAATAAGGAGGAATAAATTTATATAGGTATAATACGATCTAAGACCCTAAACATACCTTAAGTCTAGCTGCGCGCCAAGCTGCCCGTTTTTCCGCTCGCCGCGCCCTCTCTTCGGCTGGTGACAAACCACTTTCGTCTTCATCAGTCAAAAGACCCTCCTCGCGCATGCGGTCACGCAGGCGCCTTTCTGCCTTCGCCGTGCGCACTATGCCTATAGTGCTCGAAGGCCTACTGGAAAATATAATAATACGTATTCTATTAAATACAATTTAATTATTTATAAAATTAAAAGAAAATAATAATAAATTTGAATAAACAATATTTGGCGATATAATTGCGGAAAAAGCCGAACCGCTCCGAAATTTTCAAAAGTTTTGCGTCGCGACCGTTGCAAGAATAGCGCCAAATAGTGTTTACATTGTCCTTATGGGCACTTTCCAATCTAAACTTGTTTCATTTATCTATGATGTCATCTAAAAACTTTTTGACAGTTTACCGGCATAAAATTATTAAAGTGACAACAAATTTACTGGTAGCAATATTATCAAAGGAACTGAAAAAGTCAACAGTCAAACAATAAAAAAGGCACAAGAAACTGTGTACTAGGTGTGTAGTAAAACGTGTGACTAGGTGTGTACTAGGTGTGTAGTAAAACGTGTGACTAGGTGTGTAGTAAACTTTTATTCTTGAAGCTATCTGCCTTATACATGGGAAATTAAAATAATTTTGGTTGCACATCTTAATACGACCACCACCAAACTCCATAAGACGACGCATGCTGTCATTGATGACGTGCACCCAAAGTTGTTTTAATTTCCCTTGGCAAAAACGTCAAAAGATTATTACAAGTGTCACTTTAATTGTGAAATTAGAAAAATAACATTTCTTTTTTTTTGGTTCTACCTTTTTTTAATGCTCACATATGTCATTTATATGCCTATTTAATCAAAATTGGTTTAGAGGTATTTTTGACCTCTTTATGTTAATAATAATAGCTCCCGTATATAGCGTTTAACGCCTTGGGAGTAGGAAAGTACAGAGTAGCAAGGCTAGAGCCGTTCGGTATACAAAGAAGGTAATGTGACTAGCACTACGCTTCAACCGCCTATTATTACCTCAGGATTGTGAATCCCAAGTACTCATTTAAGGCGACATAGGTACCTCAGGACCCAAACAATTTTTATTTTATTAAAAATAGTCGGCTTATGAAATGCCGACTATAGGATTCGAAACCATAACCTTTGTATTGGTAGAGGAGAGGTGTACCTCTACACTACCGGGCTAATTACTCTATTCTTTACTAATTAAACTCTTTATGTTAATACCCAATATAAATATAACACAAAAAAATAAATACCTAGTAGGTTGAGATTCAATTGATTCGTTATCGGAATGACTGAGAGTGTGTAACGAGTTGATGTCAGCTGAAGACAGTTGCGCTATCTTCTTATCTTCTTCTGCTTTCAATTTTTCTACTTCATCCGGACTCAAATAACTGAAAGTTTTTTCTATAAAAAAATAAAATAATTATTCCCATATTTAATATCAATCACACATTTAACTGTAACTAATATTAGCTACCTTTTTTGACGGGTTTTTGGCTTTCCTCCATAGCGGTTTCAAAGAACTTTTTCCTATCGCTAACTGACTGTTTAACGCTATGACTTGTCGGGCTTTGAGGTGGCTATATAAAAAATAAATAAAATATTACAAAAAAATTAGCCAAAATAAGAATTCTGTAAGTATAGTGTGTTTTTCAAATAAAGCAGATAGTCTACCGAGTCTACGTCTGAATAAAAGAATGTATTTTTTATATACATAGAGATAAGAACCCTTATTAACGACACTATTTTATACACTGGGTTTTTCATCAATAAGACTCTCCAAGTTAAATGTTAAAAAGATACGATTATTAGAAGCTCTCTTAATTGACAATTGATTTGACTATTTCGTTTTTAATTTTGGTTATGGTTTTCTGTTCCGTTTCTATAAGTTCTCTGAATTTTTGTTATTACGGAACGCGGTTCCTGAAAAATATCTGTCATTATTGTCACCAAATTGAGAAGGTTGGTTTTTCTAGTTTGTATGTCACTCATCTGTCAATTAATATCATTTTTGTGTCGCAGAAAAAAAAATTGACTGCCTCTGATGAGTTTTTTGTCAACTAGTTAGGAAGCAGGCTATTTTGAGTAACGACATGAGTTACACAAAAGAGACGTTTACCCAACATGCTGCCATACAATATTTTTTCTAATCTTTCTAAACAACATTATGTACTCATTTGACTATGAATGTCATCTAAAAAACCTTTTGACACTTTACCGACAAAAACATTTTTGAAAACGTCAAAAGATTATAGAAAGTGTCACTTTAAAACTTTTTTTTGTCACAAGAAAGCTTCTAACTTCATATGTATTACATTTACTGTACCCTTACACAATACAACTGGGCCACTGGATTGGGGTACAGTACAACTGCAGTACCAGTGGCACTAAAAAGTTTCTTAAATTTTTAAACCCACAAAAAAAAAAGACATTCTAAACTATCTGCTTACTTAAGACACCCTCTATACTCCACCCAATATACTTTACCTTGCTGAAATTCTCAAACATCGACAGCCTCTTACCGAAACTACTTAATTTCGCATTCGCGCTCTTTCTCGCAGTGTCAAACAACTCCGGATCTGTGTTCAACAACGTCTCCTCACTACGATACGTTCTTAGTGAAGGTTTACTAGGAACAGGTGGAGGTTTTTCTTTAGGCTTGACTATTGGCTTTCGAGGAGTGGTCGGTTTTGTTAGAGGTGGAGGAGGGGTTCGGGGTAAAGGTGGAGGTAGGTCGCTAGAAAGAAACTGATCCAAAGGAGGAGGAGGAGGGACCTTGATAATATCCTCGTCTTTAAGTAAGGGTGTGAATTCAGCGGGGGGTGGCGAAAAAGGGCCTATAGAGCTGAATGAGTTCATTGGTGGTAAGGTATACGGATTCTCCGATATATTATTAGAGTAGCTAGGCACTGTATAACTTTGATAAGGCGGAACCATGTCAGAACGATAGCCACTAGGGAATGGGAACTGATTAAACACGTTGATAGTATGTTGAGGTGGCTGATTCATAGGAATCGGATAATTATTAACCTTATATCCCACATTATCCGGACCTAAAACCTGGTTCAAACTATCAGTCGAATATCTAAATACTGTATTCAAGTTTTCGTAGTTTTGAAAACTGTTTGGTGGTGCTACAAAGTCTACAGACGGAGCTAATACTGACTTATTAGATGAGTTATCATCGTTCTGAAGTTGTGCGAGTAGACTTTCGTGGTAGAATGGATTGGTTGGAGATAAAATAGTTGGAGGTTCCGGTAAATTATCCACCTGAAGAGGTTTAAGTGGCGTGGCTATAGTATTTATGTTGCTTGGTGCGACATTAGAAGCTAACGTGCCTATTAAATTTGAAGATTCTGTTGAGATTGATGACGCAATGTAATCGGGATTACTAGAAGATGATTCATTTTGAGACTCAGCATTTAAAGACACTGTAGTTTGAACTGCAGTACTTTCAGTCGACTTAGAAGACTCTTTAGTTAAATTAGCTGCCGAATGTGCTTTCAGAAGTTGTTGGAATAAGTCATCTGTCAAAAGTGAATCCAGACTAGACCGATTAAATGAGCCCTTTTCATCCTGAGATACTTTATCCAAATTGTCAGTTGATAAAGATCTGACTCTTTGTGTGGTTGTATGCTGTAAAGTGCCCGTATCAACCTCCATGTTGGGTTTGGCGGGTTTAGGCAGTGTGGCGGAATGCTCCTGTAGAAAAACAACGTAGAATTTTAAGTATCCGGCTCGTACGAGAAAAAAGGACCTGAAGCTAGGACAATTAAACAATAAGCCCATTTATTTTTTACCAAAAATATATTTGCCATCGAGAATCACATGGAATATTTGGTTAGTCTTCGACGGGACACTATTTATCTTTAATGTCAAACATTTTACAATAAAATAAATACTTAGGATAAATATATACTTTAGCTTTGTTTTAACACCGAATATAAAAATTCCGTATAATCTACTGGACTGATTACAAACAAAATATATGTATTTAGTTTCATTTGACGACTGCTATGTGGTATTCAATATACACAGTATAAATCTCAGATCTGTACAACAGAAATAAGCTGGCTGCCTACTTGGACGTTACGAAGCCTTCCAACTTAACAGCGTTCATACGATAGGACCAGTGTTCAAGTGAGACGCTTATATATGGCTACTTATATATGGCAGCATCCAAGCGCTACTTATATACCGGATGCGTCTCAAAAGTGGCTTACCCCCGATAACTTTTTTATTTTTTCAGATAAAAAAATGAGATTTGGTATGTTAGTATATGACATAAATTAGGATTGATTGACGTAATCAATTGTTTTTGGTCACTTCCTGTTTCACCGGAAATGACTACAACTTTTGATTTTTAAATAGCACCCTCGGTATTTTTTTACTTTATTCGATAGAAAATGACATTCTGAATATAATGTCATATCATATGTCAACTTTTGACATTCTCGCTTAATAAAAAAATATATTTTAAAATTCAATCTAGAGTGTCCTGGCTATGTTAAAAACACTATTTCTAAGTCCTATTCTTAATCAAGGAGCCTTGGAGAAATAGATTTGATCGTCTAATGTTTTTAGTGTCTTGTCCTGGCCAGTTAGAAAATGCTCAAATAGTATTTTTAATCATAACTCAATTTTTTCAAATGGAACGAGGGTGGCTCATTAGCATATTTGGAAAAATAATTTTTTTACGAATAATTTGATACCACACACTTGGTATTTCGAGTGAAATTTTTGTTACGAACCGCAAGTTATAATTTCAGATAAACCACATGCGAAAATGTCAAAAGTGACATATGATATGTTATTCGATTCAGAATGGTATTTTCAATCGAATAAAGTAAGAAAATACCGAGGGTGCTATTTAAAAATCAAAAGTTGTAGTCATTTCCGGTGAAACAGGAAGTGACCAAAAACAATTGAATATGCCAATCAATCCTAATTTATGTCATATACTAACATACCAAATCTCGTTTTTTTATCTAAAAAAATAAAAAAGTTATAAGGGTGAGCCACTTTTCAGACGCACCTGGTATAGCAGCATCCAAGCGTACTTGGTCCAAGCACACTTGGACCGTGTCATCCAGGCTTAAGACAAAAATTTTGCGATGCGCGATGAAACCACAACAAAAATGAAACTAATCTTTCATAAATTAATATTTTAGACAGTGGTGTGTAGTATATTGTCTGGACCATATGAAGATATATGATCTATTGTTCTGTTTATTTTTTCTGAGGGTTGTATTATGAAGTTTGGTCTATCTTTTATCCAGGGTAAGTCTTAAATAAGTGCAAATATTTTTAGGGGTGGTATATCTCGACCCCAGCAACACGTCTATAAGTTTTTTTCGCAAAAAAAGATGTTCAAAATCGTGCATTTTCTTTTAAATTTACCTGTATATTTTAGAAAACTTTTTAGAGCTGCCTGTTCACCTCGAATTTTACCACAGTATAATTTCCTAATCTCTGATATCTCTGTCTATCGTGTGGTTATGGCTTTACTCTATAGTTACGGCACTAAAAGGGAGCAAATACAGAAAAAAATCCGGTGGCTCTCAATTTTTTTAAAAAATAAATCATTTTCGGATTTATTTGAAAACGGTAAAGAGAAAATACGTTTCTTTTATCTATCTTATCTTAGATCTACCAGTCCTGAATATATGTGCACTTATTTAAGACTCACCCTGTAGATGTCTATGATAAAAATAAAAAAGATACACAAGATAAAAAAATATTTATACACTGGACACTCGGATTTACTGTATATAATGAGTTACCACAAATGTTCTTTGTCAAACATAGACATATCTTCAATATGAAAATATGTTTTAAATACGGATAAGGATGAATTCAATGATTACAAATTTAACATGTTTTAGTACCTATGAAATATATATCATTCACGTTAACACTTAGTTATATAACAATGGCTGTACTTAGTAGTTTATCAGTACAGTGAAGGTAAAATATAAACGTATTTCCTTTTATTATGATATATAGTTAAATAGAGTGCCTAACAGAAGCTAACGAGTAACAATAAAAAATGGCAACATGTGACATCGACAATTTGGCACACCCTGTATAACTATTTTAAGGTATGTTACGGCTACCGTTTAGAATTTATTGAAAACCTCTCTCTCTCTTTAATATACATATTATAATCAAATCGCTTATATAATTGCTATCAGTTACTATAATTTTATTTAAACAATCTTTGACAGCACCAGTCCATAAAACTTGTAGCAAGTCGATACGAATATACAGGGTGACCCAGTGATTGATATTCTTAATCCAACATTTTGTATAAAAAAATTTCACAGTGTCGCTGATATGTATGGTCGATTATTAGGTAAAATATAGGAGGTACTGCAAAAAGTTAAATATAAAAGTTATAGGGGTTTTAAATGTCTATTAGCGGGTAATAAATTTAAGTATACAGGGTCGGTCATAAACTCGTGGCACATCAAAATTTACTTTTTTAAATGCAACCCCCTGTATATTATTGCATATTTTAATTCTTCTTTCAATTCTAAGCAAAAATCGGGATACTCACAATGTACCTCAAAACAACCGTTTCCGAGTTATTGACTTTTGAAAATATCACTAAAATAATTCGATCTAATTAATTTGATGTGTTTGGTTTTATTTAACGATGCCATTCTGCGGAAACTGTGGTACTTAATAATATATATTTGACGTTAGTTTTCAAGTTAGCAGTTATAGATGTATAAAATGAGATTATATCAAGTCTGGAAATTACAAAATTTTCAATAATATTTCAAAATCAAAACTTCATAATTCGGAAATGGTTGAATTTAGGTACATTATATGTATTACAATTATTGCTTAAAGTTGAAGGAAAAATTGAAATATGTAATAATATACAGGAGTTGCATTTAAAAAAAAGAAAATTTTAATGTGCCACAACTTTATGACAGACCCTGTATACTTAAATTTATTACTAACTAATAGACATTTAAAAACGCTATAATTTTTGTACTTAACTTTTTCGGTACCTTTGTATATTTTACCCAATAATGGACCGTTCCCATACATATCAGCGACCCTGTATTTTAATCGCACATGAATACAAATTTTTGATTAGAAATATTTTTATAATAGTATCTTCTTAAAAAGAAAGAATACTAAAATACATTATATTACATGATGTACACAGGGCGAGTCCCAACTAGATGTATTTTATTTTTCAAATAATGAAAAACCCTGTATTTTATGATACACATAACACTAGGTCACCCTGTAAATAATAAGGGACTATACATTTTTGAAAAATATCTAAATTGATACAAAAATTTTGATTTTTTATTACTTTAAAACCTATATAAAATATTCATCCCACCTCTAATTTACAAAAAAGAAATGCAAACATACAGAGTGTCCCAATATTCCGTGGACATAGAACTAACTACTACGTATTTTTGGAATCAAAATAAACTAATTAAACATAATTTACATCTATACAAAAGTGCTTCGTTTGTGCGTTAGAGGGCATCAAATTTTCAAAAAAATAAACACATTTTTTAAGATATTTTAAAAACCCTTATTCCGATTTGAATGGTCTGATTTGGGGTGTCTATGTTTTGCTAAACGCCTTAATATTTGACTTTTATAAAAAAAAACAGAAAGGTTATAAGAAGGATAAAAACTACCCTCACCCCTACATAAATTCTAACAGAAACGTTTTCAACTGCAACCACAACTGATTTTTTATTTGTTGGTCATTTTAGTTTACTAGATAATTTAGTTTCTTGTAAAAAAGCTATTATTACTATAGAAAAAATATATTTTTCTGAAGCTGACCTACAAAAATATTTCTAGTCATATCAAGCATTAAATCTAGTCGGCCATAATAACCTATAAGCGATCCCAAATGAACTTTTAGTTACGTCATCAAGGGCGCGATTATCAAATTCATTGTTGCCAACCATGGACATATTCGGCGCCGGGTTGACTAACTGGAATTTAAATTTCCTGCTGGCGATTCAGGTGATAGCTCTGCGGTAAAAATGTCGATTTGCCACATTTATTTATCTATTTCCTGACATTTTGATATGTTTTGACACTTTAGTTTTGTATTACAAATTTTTGGTTTAAGTAAATTGTGTTATACTTTAAGTTTAATTTTTTTTACTAGCAGACCTTGCAGTCGAAAACTGTTCTTTTTAGAACCGCTTTTAATGCGAAGTGTACAAGATAGCTTAATAGCCGTAAAAACCCATCGGAACTTTATTAGAAAATTTTGAACGGGAAAGCAGTAGTAATGGCCCTTTATGTCTCATAAGTGCTGTTAAGGAGGTGAGTTTTGTCGATGTCAATAATAACTTTTATAAAATTAATCTATTTTGTTTCCTAAAATATTTTGATTAAAAGAAAATATGTAAAAGTCGGCAACGCTGTGCCGGTCAAGCTTAATCACGTGACTAAAACTTTATTTGGTATGATCAATAGAGGTAATGTTATTGTTGTTGTCCAATTAACCTATTTTCATTCCAAAAATACGTAGTAGTTTTATGTCCACGGAATATTGGAACGCACTGTATAAAAAAAAAATAAATGCACAGGCTATATTTAAAAAAGGCACAATATTGATGAATAGTAAAATCTAACCAATGTACAAAGAACATTTTTCTTTTTAAATACAATCATAATTCAACGGGCAAAACATTGGCATGACT